CGGGGCGAGGTTTTCTGAGGGCCGGACGAAGTTGCTTAATAACATGCTAGGTTTTGCATACTGTCTAGACTTCATTAAAGCAATGGAAAAAAACAATTTCTCGTTGATTGTGATATAATTCTTCAAGTATAGGAATTATGGTAATATGTAATTTCTACAAAAGGTAAGGCCGTGACCTATAATTTTGCCTTGTTGCTATTACACTTTCTAGGAAGATATCGGTTCGTTATCACAATGAAAGTAATTGCTGATGTTGATGATGGAGGCTATACTATGTTGATTTACACAGCCTGTTTGGAACTACTTACGAGATGAATTCATTTAGTTTCGCACCTGTCCAGATCATAATCCGCAAGTGACACTTGTGTAATTTACCCACAAAAAATAAATTGTTTTTCTATGGAATAAAGATAGCTTAAACTTTGAAATATCCCGACTTAAATGCTGATAATGTAATATCATCTTTATGCCATCCCATCTTTTACACCGACATATTTGTTTGAAATCAGGTCGTCCATCATTATTCACCGCTTCACGAGGTTTTCTATAAATAAACCAAAGAACATGATTGTATCACATCGCCCCAACAATTTTATTATGTTAAAATTCCTCTGTTAGTGCGGCTTCTATTTTTTCTTTTATTGTTGTCATCAGCTGGCAAAGGCACATTGTTGTTTTTTCAATTAATCCTTCTTTAAAACTTTATTTTTTTTATTCCAGATCCCGTCGTGTTCAATATGGAATACGACGCGCCCCGTAAATCACTATCTGGTTTTACCAGTAACCTCGCTTTGTCATCGGTCAAAAATAGTCGCACCACCTTTAAGTAAATCACATGCAAAACATTGACTTCTTTCTTGTTTTCCAGGTCAAATATATTCTCATACTTCGGGTTCTGATTGGCTCCTTGTGATATGTCCTTCCTTCTGATTGGCTCCTTGTGATACTACCTTCCTTCTGATTGGCCGTTGTGACTGCGTAGGTTTGGTATGACGACACTCAAACGAAAAGCGTGTTTTTGTCACTGTGACAGACCACAAAAATAGAAAATTTCAGTTTCTTAAGAAATTCACCCAAAAAGCTATCGTATGACCTCAGTAAAAGAGTTGACGATATGGCCTTTTTAAACATTTCTTTGTAAAGGAAAATACACATGAGATGGGAAATTAGTGCGGTTTTTAGTTACGGTTAAAAAGTAGTTACTTATTTGTGCTTAACCAATGCAAAACATCCAGGGATTTCTGTAGCTTTTTCTAAAAGCGGCTGTCGATGATTCATAGGTAGTTGTGCCCTAAAGGGGGCCGAAGGCGAAACCAAACATGAGAGACTGCTCGCTGGCGAAACAGACGGCGGTAAGAGGTTCTTTAGGCGGCGGTGTAGTGGTAGACCTCTAATAATCGGTTTTTACTGGCCACCACGACATAGCTGTTTTAAAAGTTTGACTTATTATTAAAAAAGAAATGAAATTCGAGACTTGTTCATTTCATCACTTGGTAACAAACAGACAGTTCGAACAAAACCGAACGCTTTCGGGAAAGACGATATCTTCAGTTCGTTTCCTATGAAAAAGCTTGAAACAATTGTGTGGTAAGTACGATCGCTTCATTAAAGAACTGAAAGAAAGTAACTCATTAATTTGCGTGTCAGTGAAAAGGACGACACTTAGGGGCGCGCGGTGGCTGTTTTCAAGACGTCGTTGAAGTGACGCTGAAGTCAAAATCATTTTGATATAGGCAGTGAACTTTAGAAATAACAGTGACACATTTTAAAGAGATCGTGCGGTCCAGTTCAGAAATCGGTTTCAATAAAGGAAAAAAATATGAATTTTTTATGTCTTGTGGCATTGCTGGAACAATCAAGTTCTTGAAGGAAAATATGCAAGATTATATCTGCCCTTATAATTAAGACTCCGGAACGAAATAAAAAAAATATTGTGACGGGGATTTAGAAGAGGAGGTGTGCACGTAATTTATTTAACTTGCTTCCTTTTAACCCGACCAATTATTTTCCATATATTTCAACAAATGACAAAATACATTTTGTCAAAAGTATAATCAGGCAGGATGACTGTACCAACAAAATTGTGATAATGACTGGAAATCTCAGTTGTAATGGTTTTTTTACGAACAGGCGAGCCAGTTGAGCAAATATTTATAGTAGTTTTATTATCATAAAGACTGATAAACTGATCAAGAAAATTTTGGTCACCCATTTTGTTTGAATTTTTTCATATTTTAAGCTTTTGTGAGTTAGGCCAGTACTTTTGTCTTTTGGAGTAATGAAAATAATATTTTACTATCCAATTTGTCTATTAGTGATTTAATCAAAAAGAATTATAGAGCATGTGGAAAAATGAAGCTTCTTTAAAATTTGCTCATAATTTTTTTTTTTCATCTATTCCTTTAGTAAGTTGATGGAGCCACTGAGGCTGTTCACTGAACTAACTCTTGACAAATGCGATATTTTTTGTTCATTTGCGTTAATCTATTCAGACAAGCTCCTCATATCCTCTTTATCCGTCAGAAATTCTAATGGTAACCTTAACCTCATGTTTTCACCCGTGCAACGAATTTAAGAGTGAAAAATTAAAAAGTGATAACTTAATATCCCAGATTTTTTCCAAGTATCGAAATGGCTGATGTGACTGGAGGTAGACTGGAACTAGTGAGAGCGGTCTAAACTGCAGGCGCAGGTTAAATTTTCAATATGGCGGCTCAACCTGAAAATGAAATTGTTTTATTTTAAAGTCAAATATGTCGTTCTTTTCACGATCTAAAAAGGCGAAATCCTCACTCTCTCGCAATAAAAAGTCTCAAGGTCCTAGAGATGTTTCTCAGGAAACTTCGGTAGGTAGTTTTGATTTTGCATGGTGTTAGTTTTTAATTTACTTCCGTGTGGGATGCTGCAAGATGTTGTCCAATGTCTTTTATGGGGTAGTGTTTTTTATAAACGTTGTGTTACCGATTAAGGTTTTCTAGCCCCCATAGGAATAAAATTCCTTCTTAATTGCTTTTTTCGTAATTTGAAATCAGGATGTTTATTTTTCATACACGAACAACATCGATTATCTATCGGATCTCCCACAGTTTGTAGCTCTCCAAGTAGATTTGAAGAGTTGATAAAGATGTATAGAGGTGGAGCTGTCCAACACAAATTCAATTTGTAGAGTTGGCAAAGATGCATTACGATGAAGCTGTCCAACACAAATTCAATTTGTAGAGTTGATAAAGATGCATAACAGTGAAGCTGTCCAACACAAATTCAATTTGTAGAGTTGGTAAAGATGCATTACGATGAAGCTGTCCAACACAAATTCAGTTTGTAGAGTTGATAAAGATGCATCATGATGAAGCTGTCTGACACAAATTCAATTTGTAGAGTTGATAAAGATGCATCATGATGAAGCTGTCCGACACAAATTCAATTTGTAGAGTTGATAAAGATGCATAACGGTGAAACTGTCCAACATAAATTTAATTTGTAGAGGTGATAAAGATGCATTACGCTGAAGCTGTCCAACACAAATTCAATTTGTAGAGTTGATAAAGATGCATAACGGTGAAGCTGTCCAACATAAATTTAATTTGTAGAGGTGATAAAGATGCATTACGATGAAGCTGTCTAACACAAATTCAATTTGTAGAGTTGATAAAGATGCATAACGGTTAAGCTGTCCAACACAGATTCAGTTTTTAGAGGTGATAAAGATGCATTACGATGAAGCTGTCCAACATAAATTCAATGTCGCTTGTGATACACTTGTTCTTTTGCAACCTGCCACTGTTAGTTTGCTTAACTGATCATGAAGGTTTTTTGTTTCAAGATTTAGTTTTAAAAACTGCAAAATTGGAGCCCATGGTAAATATTTTGTGTTGCAGTATGGTTATTAAACCCAGTACTTTGTGTAAGCTAATTATTAGTTGATCCAAAACCAAATTCTCTGTAGTTGTGTAGGTAGACAGTAAGCAAAATTTCAAATGAGATCTTAAAGGAATTATGAAGCAGTCACGGTCACCCTTCTCTGAGTCCCAACAGCCTGTTTATATTGTCTTTTGCCTGTATTCAACACTCACCTTTAGTGGAACCACTATTCCGTAGTTATTTTGGCAAATTAGTTCTAAAATTGGGGTGCGTCTTATAGCCAAGTATTTTCGCACAACAAAATCTTAAGATCACAATTTGAGAAGAACTTACAGTTTAAAAAACACCAGAACAGGACACTAGTTGTTGGTCATTGACTTTTATAGATTTGGTGGTTCTGAAAAGAACTGGGGTGGCTCTGAAAAGAGCCACTGAGGTGGTTGTTGTGTTGTTTGTAGAACTACAAAAATCCATGTTTTTCTATGAAATCAATGTTTGTTGTATTTTTGAGAGAGTTTTTGTACATTAACCCTTTAACTCCTAAGAGTGATTAACATGAAACTTCTCCCTACAATATCCATACATTGTTCAGCAAACAGGTAATGAGAATATTCAAACTTATCAGGTAGAAGCTGCTATCTTGATCTAGAGCCAAGTTCTCATAACTATTTCACAAGGAAAAGTGTAGCAGCTACAGGGGAGAATTAACAATCAGAACCAGTGTTGAGTGGTCAACCTGCTTTAACCCTTTAAACCCTAATAGTGACCAGCATCCAAATTCTCCTTACAGTAATACTGCAGAATCACTCATTAATATCATGAGAATAAAGAAAATGATTGCCAACCTAAGATGCTTTGATTATAAAACAAATTCTCTTTCTCCAGATAAAAGGAATTGTTTAAAGAAGAGAGTGGAAAATATAGATAGTGATGTTAGGGTTAAGCGGTCACCCTGCCATTCCCTGTGGGTGACTGCTTATAAGTTTAACTGCAGTTAAAAACCTTTTAGGAGAGCTTTGCCCATAATTCCATAAGAGCTTGTTTCTCAGTCTCTGTTTTTGAGCTGTCCTGCTCCTTGCCACTCCTACTCCCTGATTATTTCATTCATGAAATCATTTTATGTTAAATTTTAATCTTAGAGAGAAAGGAATGATGGTGACAGTGCTATTAGTGGGTCGTTGTTCAGTGGCATGACCTTAACAGCAGCTCCTGCTGAAAGGACAACCTCCTCTGATGAAGTTAATCTGATGGGTCATGGTGATGTTTCACTGCAAGATAAATTACCCAAAACAGTTATTGAAAATCCACAAGATTTTGGTGCAGTTCTTGGTAAGAAAGAAAATTTGTGTTGCTCTGATTTTTCTTTGAGGTACAGAAATGGTCCACAAGGTGAGTGGACTACTCCTGGCACACTTGGAAATCAAAACCATAAATTAGAAAGGTGTTCTTTTTTAAGTGATTAACATGCATGTAACTTCTTCCCATGATATCTGTACATTATCCAGCAAACAGGAAAGTAGAATACTCAAACTTATCAGGTAGAAGTTGTTATCTTGATTTAACACAGAATTCTTGTTACCAATATACAAGGAAATGTCAAGTAGCTTGAGGGGAGGATTAAAAATCAGATTGTGGGTCAGTGGTTTTAGAAATACACTCCTTTAACCCTTTAACTCCTAAGATCTCATTAGTAATTCTCCTTACTGTCTCCCATACAGTTCTTGGGATGTTAGTTTGGAGAATTTGGTATTGGATCAACGTATAATCTCCTAACCGATATTTTGCTTAATTCTCATCACTTAATGTCTGCTTGATATTGTATTGATATTGTAAGGAGAAATTCTGTCTTGGTCACTCATGGGAGTTAAAGGGTTAAGTGACGATCGCATAATCATTGAGAATTCAGATTACATCAACAAAAAAATTAATTTTGGTTTCCTTCATTTTGCTACAGCAAGACCCATCGAAGCTGAGTTGTTACCCAAGCCAATGCAGCCAAAAGTTGTTCCGCAGCAGATGAGCCAATCAGCTACAAAGAAGAAAAGAGCTCGGCACGCTGTGAGACCTGGATATGCCAGACAACCTGACACTAAAGGGTAAATTCAAGTTTAATTTTATGTTTTAATGTGCTGTTAGAAGTAGTGGTAGGAGGACTAGTATTAGAATGTTAGTGGTAATAGAAGTAGCAGTAGCACTATAGTGGTAGTAGCAGTGTCAGTGGCAGCAACAGTACCTAGTTCAGTAGTAATGTCAGTAGCAGTAGCACCACCAACAGCAGAAGTAGCAGCCATAGTAGCAGCAGAAGTAAAAGCAGAAGTAGCGGCAGATTGAAGTAGAAGCAGAAGTAGCAGCACAAGTAGAAGCAGAAGTAGCAGCACAAGTAGAAGCAGAAGTAGGAGCAGAGATAACAGCTGAAGCAGTGGCAGAAGTAGCAGCAGAAGTAGCAGCAGAAGTTGCAGCAGAAGTTGAAGCAGAAGTAGCAGCAGAAGTAGCAGCAGAAGTAGCAGCAGAAAATGAAGCAAAAGTAGCAGCAGATATAGCAGCAGAAGTAGCAGCTGAAGTAGCAGCAGAAGTTGCAGCAGAGGTAGCAGCAAAAGTTTCAGCAGAAGTTTCAGCAGAAGTAGCAACAGAAGTAGCAGCAGAAGTTGAGGCAGAAATAGCAGTAGTAGCAGTTATAGCTGTTGTGATAGATATAAGTATTAATTTTCACCGTAAAGTTATTGTTTATCCTATATTTTAAGGGAACCCAGTGAGCCAAGTGATATGATTGCTGAGGGGACAGTTGGTAAAACTGAACAGGAATCCAAGGTGGAAGAAGGTATTTTGTTTTAGTTCAGCTACAATGTTTGTTGAGTACTAGTTAATGAAATACATATCAAGATGTTTGCAGATATTGTCATTGTTAAAATGTAGGCCTGGTGGTCTTGACAATCTTGACATGATTTACACACTTATTTTACATTTGAATATCATGTATTTTTTTTTGGCAATAAATTTACAACTTGAAAGATTATTTTGAATGTAAGGACAACTCATTCCACCAGTTGAAGTTTCTCTTACCCTCTCACTCCTATGAGTGACCAAGACAGAATTTCTCCTTACAGTATCAATACAATATCAAGCAGACAAGTGATGAGAATAGAGAAAAATATCAATAGGGGAATTATTAGTTGATCCAATGCCAAATTCTCCAAACCAGTATCATGAAGATTGTATGGTAGACAGTAAGGAGAATTTCGAATGAGATCTAAGGAGTGAAAGTATTCAGTGTCCTTAACAGTTTTTTGAAATCATTGCAAAGTCTTAGGTAGAGAAAGGCACTTTGAGTATTCAGAATCAAAGTAAGTCAGTTCGCCCTTGAACACTTACTTATTGTACCACAGCCCAGCATTCAGGTTACCTTGTCTCCCCTTCCTTGATGGATATGCTTGTTGCTTATTAGATCAGACAAGGGCAACAGGAGAAGTCACAAAACTTGAAGAGGAGAGTGGTGAGCCTTCCATGCCCTTGTACTCCATTGGAACCCCATCATCTTCGGATGAAAATTTGTTTGAAGAGATGAAGATCAATACCACTGAAGGAAATGTTACGAAAACTCCCAGCAGAGAATCCTTAAAAGACTTAGACTTGAATAGATCAACTCCACCCCAGGGTGACAAAATTAATGTTGACGAATTTAATCCAATTGATGCTGTAAGTGACCACTCGGAAACTGTGTCTAAATCTTCTTGTATGGAGATACAAGACAAAACCTTAGAGGTGTCAAACAACACAAAGAGTTTAGAAGAAGATGAAAGTATTTTTGAAAGTGGGAAATATTTGGATTCAGATGAAGATCTTTCTAAGGCATCTGGCAGAAGAATAGATGAAGGCTTTGCTGGGGAAACCTCTCTTAACAGTGCTGTGGAAAGTGAAATACTAAATTCACATTTTACTCCTGGGTCAAATGAACAAGTTAAACAAAATGTGGAGGTAGAATTTAAAGAAGAAAGACTCGTTATGGATCAGAAAAAGAGTGATCTTGAAGAACCTTCGAAGAAGCTAAACAACGTGTTGACTCACTTGAAACTTCAACTTACAAGTCTAAGGTATTATGTGAAGTTCTGAGTTATCATGAATGGGTGGTATCTAGATAGGATATGTGGAAACAGCTTAGTGTGAACCTGTGCAAGCAATGATGTTTGACTTGATCCTAGATGCACTGCTACCATTTGTATTATTAGCAAACTCAGAAAAAAATATGGGGTACTTTACTTTTGTCACTTATTGCAGAGTTATGAAAGAGCCACTGTATAGTTTTTAACCCGTTTCACCCCAACAGTAGTATGCATATTCTCCCTACTATTCTCTATACATTTCCTAAGGTGCTGACAAGGAGAATTTGTTTAACAATCACAAGTTTCATTTTTTGGTTGTCAATTCCTTTATTCTCCAAAAAAAAATTAGAAACTGGTCACTCTTTGTGGTCAAAGGGGTAATTACTTCTCATGATTGACCAAGAAGTAATTTCTCCAAACAATATCAATACAATATCAAGCAGACTGGTGATGAGAATAGAGAAAAACATCAACTAGGAAATTATTAATTGATGTAAAACCAAATTCCCTGAACTAAAAACTGCGAGAAATTTGTAGAAAACAAGGAGAATAATTACAGAAAACTTGAAGATGAAAAGGTTTCATGGTACCATGAAAAATTGGATTAAATATTTATGAGGAGTTTTATCCTATGGAAAGATATACTCAGTGCAAGCTTTTGAGTAGGAGATTAGCGAGTCTAAAAAACCTCTCATATCCTTTTTTTTTCGTGTTTAGTAAAGACAAACGGTGCCTAAAAAGCCTTGAGGAAGAGTTGTTAAAGGTTTACACAGAGTTGTGCAATGTGAAGAATGAAAAAGGAGAAGAATTCAAACGACTTCAGATGGAAGAAAGCCAGGCCTTAGCCTGTGACAATTATGACCTGGCAGAAGAGATCAGTAACAGAATGGAACAACTCAAGCAAGATTTGGAATTTGCTAGGTATAGGCTACCAGCTCGAGATGATAAGGTAGGGAAAAAAGGTTACTTCAAATACTTTGGCCTTTTCAATCCCTCCTCATTCAAACTTCCAGTAATTATGATATGGCAGACTTTGCTGTTTGCCAGGACCAGAAATCAGTTTCTGTAGCAGATTTGAAAGTGTTGTGTGAACCTTCCACTCTCACTTTTCTCTGTCCCTCCTCTCTCTCCCTTCCCATCCTTTCCCTTACCCTCCCCTCCCTCCTTTCATTACTTCCTCCCTACCCCCTTCACTTGCTGTTCACTGCCCCTCCTGTCTTTTCCCCCACTCTCTCTTCCCTCCTTTTCATCACTTCCTCCCTGCCCCTTCACCTTCCCTTCACTCTCCCTTCCCATCTTTTTTCTCACCCTCCCATCCCTCCCTCTCATGACTTCTTCCCCACCCCCTCACCCAGCCTTTACTCCTCCTTCCATCTTTTCCCTTACCCTCCCTTCCTTCCTTTTTATTACTTCCTCCCCACCCCCTCCCCTTACTTGTCCTTCCCCCACCACACTTGGCCTTCCTTCCATCTTTTTCAAATCCGCTTTTATTTTGAAAGGTTGAAAAAGCATTGAAGCTGAGAGCTCAAATAACAGAGAGAGAAGTTAAGATTTACAGACAAAATCAGACAACACTGGAAGAGGTGCGAGAAGAACAAAAAGAGTGTCTGGTCAGACACACAGATATTCAGGCTACCTGGAGTGCAAAGGAAAAACAGCATCTGAATTCTGATCGGCAGAGACTGGAAAGAACAATGGATCATCTGAGGCTTGACAAGGAGCATATGGAGGCAGAGGGTGTGGAACTAAGTAAAGAAATTCTACTAAAAACTGAAGAGTTCCAAACAAAAAAGGAAGGGTTGCTTTTAGAGAGGGGAGCCTTGCAGGTTAGTTAAAAAAAAAAGAAAAAGTATAGAAAAAAAATAGTTTGTTATCTTGGGTTCCAAAACTTGTCAAATTTGAGCTTTTGAAGTTAATTTTGTAATAGAACATTCAGCATATTGTTTTGACCTACCATGCTCCATACATTAGATGAACATCTCTCCTGTTCTTCACAATGAACAAGCTTCAATTTTTGTTTGTTTTCATTTGCACTATGAAAAAAAATTGACTACTCTAAGCTTCCCATAAATTCATTTTTGAAATGAGCTCAAGGGAGCAAAATTATATATATATATATATGAGTATGATCATAGAAATATTTGATATCAGTTACTCTGTCTAATTATCATCATGAACTTTGGTCCACAATTTTATAGCAAATATTTTTATAGCTCATAGGAACATTCAATCTTTGTTGTCTTCACCTGAGGATGATAAGATGATAGTTCTAACGTTAGCAAGTGAAAAAAGTTCGTTGAAGCAAAGAATATCTCAATTTGTAATAGGCAGAAATCTCATCACTGGAGGCTAAGCTGGCTAAGTTGAGAACCAAAGAATTAGAGCTAACAGCTTTCATCAAAGAGCAAGACAATGAAATAGACTCTGTCAAGTTGGAATTCAGTCCACAGCAACAAGCCCTTGATAAACAGCAACAGGAAATAGAAAGAAGAGAGAGGTCACTTCAGGAAGAATTTGTAAGTGAACCCTTTACACCCTAACATCACTATCCACATTCTCTATACAGTTCTCTGTGCATTTCCTAAGGCGCTGACAAGGAGAATTTGTTTAGCAATCAAGAACTTCTTTAGCTGTTGATCATTTCCTTTGTTCTCCTGACCCTAATGTTTGATTCAGGGGTAATAAGGAGAAATTAGAAGCATGTCACTCTTAGGGGTTAAACGGTTAAAACACATGGGGGGGGCAGAATACTCCCAAACATCTCATGCTTCAGTAAAAAGGATACGCTCTAGATGGATTACCACATTGCCATTTTGGCTGTTGAGCAGACCTCCCTTTAATGTTCAATAAGAATAGTACGACCCTGTCTGCACACATGGCCATGCTGCACCATTCACGCTGTGTTTGATTAAATCAAAAAATAACGTTCTATTCCATTTTATGTCCATGCTGAAAAGAATCGTGGAAGGTAGAAAAGCCGGCGGGGCAAGTGACAAAAAACCAGGCTCCCCCCCCCCCACACGCTCAATGTCTGGATCCGTCACTGTCAAATTTCCTCTAAAAAATGAAAAAAGCAGTGACAGTAGAATTTTTATTTAAGTTCCATTTTGGATTTACGTTGGTGCAGACAATAGATCTTTTCTATATATGGTATGCTGCATATTTCTTTTTGCAACTGAAATCACTCTAAAACTCTCACACTGAAAATCCACAGAGGCTGTTGTCATCTAGTCAAGAAATATTTGATGCCAAAGTAGAGGAAAGTCAAAGAAAAGAACAAGAGTAAGTCCAAAGAATAGTTCAGTTTATATATAAATATATAAGTGAAATAATCATAGAGGACGCATCAATTCTCTATTACTCTGAGTTTCACGCCTAAGCGCTCGTCAGACAGAACTTTCTGTTTCTGTCTGATGAGCGCTTAGGCGCAAAACTCAGGGTAACAGAGAATCGATGCGTCCTCTTTGATTCTTTCACTTATATATACTCAGCTCTGCTACCACAGCATTGAGCACTTTATGCCAAAGTAGACTCAACCCGCACATTTATATATTTATATATATATATATATATACATATTTAGTGAGATCACTTGGGGTGGCTGTATGGCCTTACCTCCATCCTAGCATCAGCACTGCACTGATGAGGCCTAGAAGGCCGAAACAGTACTGTCTGCAGTTAGTTATATACATGTTTATATATACATATATATATTATATATACATTTGTTTTGGGGGTAGTGGAGGGGTGCGGGAGGAGGAATGTCATGCAATACTTCCCTCCTCTTCCACTAAACTAAGTTTTTATTTTCTAATATTTATTTCACAGGTTGACTGATGGTATAACTGAGGCTTCAGAGGAGCTGGAAAAATACGAAAAGTTAATCAAACAGCTGGAAGGGCAACAGGAGTCTGCTCGAGTATTTCTAAACATGAAACATTTTACTTTTCACACAGATCCCAAAGTAACAAGGTATGCAATATATATTTTTTTTTGGTATGACTTTTCCCCCTCCCCCTTTCTTTTTGGTACTTTGGGTCTGCGCATGTGCAAACGTTTTAATTGTGAGATGGTGTGCCTTGAGGCTGTCACAAGAGTTTTAAAGGACTTCACAAAATAGCAAATCGACAGGATGTGGGGGAAGGAGGGGGAGGGAGGGGGGAGAAAGGTAACCTCTGGAATTCCATCTCCTGGATTAGCTTCGTGTCACAGTAACCCAGGTGGGCTCCTGTGGTCTGGGGCTTTGGTGTGGTATTCCTGTGCAGTCTTCACCCATATTCACCAAGCATACATAATCAAGACCTTTTTGTCAACATTATGATTAGTCTATTTGTGATAGGCGTATTTCAAGTCATTCTTTATTTATTGAGGCTGTTAATTCTTGTTATACATTTTAGTCTGGAAGCCAAACACAAAGAAGTGTCCCAGGAGGTAAAAACTTTTACCAACAAGGTCCACATGGGGCAAAGACGCGTGGTTACCCTGAGGAAGACTGTGAATGAAATCGAGTCCCAGATCTCTGATCTGGACGCAGTCAAAAAAATAGCAATTGAAGGTAAAGGATATGAACGTGGGCGTAACGTTCTGTGTGCGTAACAGAACAGGAACCAAAGGAATCGCTATGGCCAATTAACCTTTTAACCCCTAAGAATGACTGACATCTAAATTCTCCTGACAATATCACCCCTGAATCAAACATTCAGGTAATGAGAATAAAGGAAATAGTCATCAACTAGAGAAGCTCTGGATTATAAAAACAAATTCTCCTCATCAGCACCTTAGGGAACGTATAGGGAACAGTATGGAGAATATGCACACTGATGTTAGGGTGTAAAGGGTTAAGACCATAGGAAATATATCAAAGCACGATAAACTCAACGATAAATCAGGCCTTCTTGTTGATAGCGCGCGAAACGCCAGTGGCCAGGTCGCGTTTGGTAATACTTGCAGCTGATTGGTTGCAGGGAATCGGTGATAAGAGTGAAATGAAATGTTGCTGGATGTGCTATATGTCTAACTCTTAAAGACACCAAAACGACCCAGCTAAGGTCACTTCTCGACTGAGTACCGCAATCTCAACAACATAGGAAGCCCATGAAAATTCAAATTAAAAACAAGAAAACTGTGTCAAGCGCAGGAAAACGCGGTTGCCCAAGACGTGATTGAGTTTCTGTCAACATCCGATTGGTGGAGAGGGTGGTGTGAGTTTTCTGAACCAATTACAAATCGAAGTGATGCAATACCAATGCACCTCTGGATTTCTTAGTTTTGCCCGTGTTTAATACTTGCAGTGTAAAAGTTGCCACACAAGAACAACTTAAATTCCGTGTTTGAATTACTTTCTTCGTTTAGAGAGAAATTTTAAGGAGGCTAAACGGCTGAAAGAAGAAAGTGAAACTTTGACGCAACAGGGAGTTGAAAGCCAAGAAAAACTCGAATCTTTGTTGAAGGAACTTGCAGAAGATGGAAAGTTGTTAGAGGAAGCGCAAAAACAGAACGCGGACCTGGAAGTAGACATCAATGAAAAAGAGCGTCTTAATGGTACAATTTTTGTTGTCTCTCGTTTGCTCTTCGTTTAAGTAGATATCAATGTAAAAGAGCGTCTTAATGGTACAATTTTTGTTGTCTCGTTTTCTCTTCGTTTAAGTAGACATCAATGAAAAAGAGCGTCTTAATGGTACAATTTTTGTTGTCTCTCGTTTTCTCTTCGTTTAAGTAGACATCAATGAAAAAGAGCGTCTTAATGGTACAATTTTTGTTGTCTCCCGTTTTCTCTTCGTTTAACTCTTTCGAGCTTTGTTCAATTATCAGCCAATTAGGTGGGAGGGATTTTTTCTCTCTTGTTTCTTATCCTTCAACCAAACATTGAACCCACATTCGTCATTTAGTGTTGATTGGATTAGAGGGGATTGGATTCTAGTCTAACGAGGCGTGGAAGGGGAGGGGAGGGTGTCTTTTCAGTTACTTTTTCCTCCTTCCATTCTTCCAACCTTCTCCCGCCCAAAAACTCGGCTCGTTGTGGATCTCCAACCATATCCGTTCTCCTCAATCTATAAGATTCTACTCTTCTCTCGCCCAAAAACTCATACCCTGGTAAATACCTGCTCGTTATGGATCTCCGACCATAGTCGATCTCCGACTATAACCGATCTCCGACTATAACCGATCTCCGACTATAACCGATCTCCGACTATAACCGATCTCCGACTATAACCGATCTCCGACTATAACCGATCTCCGACTATAACCGATCTCCGACTATAACCGATCTCCGACTATGGCTGATACAAGGAAACAAAAAACTAATTTGTGACTCCTTTTGACGGTTAGCCTAAAAATGACTCTGGCTTACAAAAAACGTCTTTTATATATCATTTATCTAAACCTTTTTTGTTTTGTTTGGTTTTTTGTTTGTTTGTTTTTAGCTGTAGTTATTGTAGAGGAAGCTTCCGATATGATTCAAGTCCTTCAGGAACAAATTAAGAGGTAAACGAGTTGTTGGACTCAATGTTAAATGTCTCCAGTGATAATTTCATTTTGATCAAGCTGTTGATTTGACATCTCGGAAACGTTACTTCGTTACAGAGTCGGTGATGACAGTCTGATCAAGGCTTTGCTAGAGACCGAAGCTAAAACATGCGAGGTAAGTCTGCATAATGCACAGTTAAAATATAGTATTGGGCGACTGATAATTTTGCTAATCCTTTTGTAAAAGGCTGGCGAAAACTTGGTCATCTAAGACTAGTAGCCACCTTTGTTATGATGCACAAAACTTTATATGAATTGACCCCTGAATATCTACAATCTAGATTTGTATCGCGAAATGATATCACTTCATACAGACTGAGGAATTCTAAGAATAAATCGGCTCTTCCACAACCCCGCACCAACTACTTTACAGGAAGTTTTTTTTTTTGACCATAACCGTTGTTTTTTAAGAATTTAACAAAAACTCGTCATCAGACTTTGAATGAGATACGGAAAAGTAACCTTATGTGATATGCATATTCTTTAAAACCAGTTTATTAGAGTGACACTGAAGGACAAAGATCAACGGGAGGACCGTGTATAAAACAGTGATCTGTCTATTTACACTGCGCGGTATTTGATTCTTTCTAATAGAGGGGTGTACACTAAAGAAGAAACACGCGGTCAATGTCCCAAATTATAACCATAAAAACGAAGATGGTAGCTGTATCCAGTTTTCTTCGTGGAGAAGAATGGCAATAAAACATGAAAACTGGCATTTCAGTACCAGATGTGAATGACTCTGAGGACAAAAAACGCGGGCGACAGTGAAGTCGTATTTGATTGGTTTTAGTTCTGCATCTGATTGGTTGCGCTTAAAGCGTCGGGCGCGAGTCGTGATTTTTGGACCAATCGTCAGAGTCTTTTGGACCAATCACAGAGCGAAGTAAAGCAAAACGAAAGCAATCTCTATTCACTTTCGACCGACTCAATCGCAAATTGCTCTGTAACAACAACTGAACTCTTTCAATACAAAATATTGCCATCAATTTTTTTTGTCTCACATATCACGATATTGCACGAAACTTCGTTCAATGGTTGCTAGTTGTTATGAAAAGCTGTCCTGAAACTTGACAAGGACTTCACTTCTACTTTTAAAGGGGTCTGTTTCTGAGCCTACCAAGCCCTCAGAAAGAGAACACATCCAACGGCAAGATTACAACGATCTAGTGGACAAATTGAGTGAATTGGAGGGAAGACTGGAGGCTGTGATAGAAATTGAAGATTTTGACGAGGCTGATATCCTTTTATGACCGAACTAATTTTACTTATTCAATAAATTAATAGCTATGCCACGTACTCATCAGAACTTGAGGCTTAAATTTTGCAGCCAGCTACAAGTGCAGGCAATATATGCCGCACGCGGTAAAACTCGACAGCTACTTTTATGATGGCTAAGTATAAAATGTCGTGAAGCGCAGCTCTCACCAACCAGAGCAGAGTCTACAAGCTGGCTGTTAATGGTGGGGTACTTTTTTCTAAAAGTTTTGAATTGTTTGTGCTGAACATTTATTAGATCCTTGTCATTCTTAAAGGCTCATTTATGTGACAAACTAACTTTCTCCAAAGTGTTGACGAATGTGACAGTTTGTTATTCAGTCCCAGTTCCCGACATGTTTCTGAGGTAATTAGACCGAGCGTAAGGGTAACCGGAACATACTTCTTGTCTCTGCGGTCTAGGAAGACAACTGCAAGAACACCAGTAAAAGAACTTGGCATTACTTAGCCAGGCATTAAATAGTTCCAGTCTAAATGCATTATGATATGACATTTTCACAGAGAGAGGCGACTATGTCTTTTTCACACCTACCAATCTTGAAAGTAGACTTTTGTACGTTTCTTTAACATTTTACCAGACAGACTCCAGCAGGAAATAACAAAAATTAAAGACAAAATGGCGCGGGAAAATCCATAATCTAGAGAACGATGCGTAGGAAAAGCGCATCCCAACATCAGCATGATGGAATCCAGGCGAAATTGAACTTAGAAAAGAAATGAGCTTTTAGCTTCTATGGTCCGTGCGACGACGCGCAATAAAGCAGCGGTTTCCTATGCAACGAGAAGGTTGCACATGCTTTGTGTTACCGTCTTTTTATAAGAACAGGGTAATTTTGAACTCTTTACAGTGGCCAGTTTACGTTATCAACTCAGTTGATAATACTTAATTACCCTGTTATACTCTCCCACCGACGCAGCACCACAGTTTCTTCAGAAACTTATCCCCTTTATTTTTTACAAGAACAGCCATGATGGTAGATTAAAAAAAAGTTTTTTTGGAAAATTGTTTTGGGGATAGTTACTCCTCGGTAATGTATTCTGTGAAACGTTGTAAATAGTTTCGTGACGAAATTTTGTGGTGATGGCTTCCTGATGCTCAGAGTTCACGATCCTTTTTTTTTCCAGCGGGAGGTCCGTGTAAATATTTATGTAGCCCAGATCACCTGTTCATTATAGGGATCAAGAGTTGAAGCTATCATATTGAATAGGAGAGATCGCGGAAAGCCTGGAGTGAACAAACCAATATCACCCCACTCTCCCACTCACGCCTTTTTACTATCTCCAGGCTTCCCTCGATCTTACCAATAGAATATGGCGGCTTCGACGCCCGATCAGAACATGGAGCTCTTGCTTGTCAGCAAGAAAATAAGACTCCTATGCCGCCTTGCTAAAACTGTACGCGTTGCATTTAGTTTCGCTTCAAGGAATTTATCAATAGGTTCATTACTGGTAAATTTCCCGAACAGAAGCAAGTATTGATTCCTTCCAAAAAAGCCCTGTATGCTCGTTATCTATTTCCAAAAATCCCAAATGACGCGGTCTCTCATGCTTATCTTTCGGTGCCTGTCTTTTCTCCCTTTGTGGGTGTGTATGTGTCATGGACATGGTTCATTGTACGCAAAGAAACACACTTCTACTTTCATGAATAAATTACTCTAAATTTATTTTTCATCATAAATTACGCAAATTATTCTTGAGACTATAAATATATACTGGCCCTTGAAGACAAACAAATCAGAATGTTTTTCTTCGTTGTGATTGGTTTAACATTGTCATGACACGCTTTTGATTCCAAAACTAGACACTGTGAGCAGGATAACTGGGATACCTGGATGGTACTGGATCCTTGGAATCAAGTGTAGTGATACTACGGGTGTCGGACTAGTATACTGAAATAGTGCGCTCAAGTCTGACCAAGGGCATACACCTATTTCAAAACATAGGCATGCTATACATGCAAGAGTTACTTTTTTGTAGGGTGGGTGGATTACTTGAAACATTGTGAGTGATGTCTACATTCTTACAAAAGGAGAGAAGAATATTAATGTGGGAAAGCACGAAAATGTCAAATTACCTCACTCACAGGTATTTTGTGGTAGATTATGTGTTTTGCGAATAAATGTAAGCTGTATTGGTGCCACGGATGCCTGTTAGTACAAAATGCAGACAGCAGACTGCAGACCGGATACAAAATATAGACTGCAGACTGCAGAGTGGGTACAAAATGCAGACTAAGAATCTGAAGAATCTTTACGTCTGGTATATAATAACATGTTATCTTACAGCTTACCGAGCGTCACGTAATCGCTTTTCTGCGATCCGCCTTCCTGGCCCATTTCTTGATGAAAATCGATCGCAATATTATTTCAAGCCTTCAATATAGTCTTCTTACTTTGCGCGCGAGTTGGTTGGTGTGATGTCTGTACAGATTTTACCAACGTAATAAAAGTAGATGACGTGAATAACAGTGATGGTAAAGCAAGCTTAAAACGGCAGAAATCGCCAGAAAATACAACGGATACACAGGGTATGAGTAAGTTTTATTGATTTTACGAGAAAAATGTTCATATTTCGAAATATGTGTCGTTGTAAATCGACCATACTTCGTTCTCTATACTATTCCTTATAACGTGCAGTTCCTCTCGTAACTTAACACCGAGTCACCCAACGCGTGACGCGTTCATGAATTAATCGTTGGCTTTTTCTCGAGACGTGAGCTTGGGCCGCCTGTGACAAGACAATTGCGTAAACAATATTTAACATAATAACATTATACACAAAAAAACACAGGGTTTTGTATCACGCATTTATTAAAAAAGAATATTCATACAACTACAATGAAAACAAACATAAGATTCACCTTTCTGATCGCGAAATTAATACCATTCATACTGTTATCGTAGCGAAGTTCCCTGCCATCAAGTGAATCCAACATGTCGTCTTTCTTCACAAGCAGTTTGCATCCATCATAGTTATGTTCTTCAGTCTCACGGTAGTAGTGTTGTTCAATAGATTGCATAGAGTATATGTAGTTTGGCTTCAGATTTCAGATTTTGCTTTTTACAACAAGTGAACGTTTTTCAACTAAGACATTGGCATACTTAGCATACAAGGCATTCAAGGCTTTCATGGCTTTTAAGCGTTCGCGACTCAATCCGTTCCAAAATTACCGCTCAATAACATCTTTCAGTGTGGATTAGCCGCGATTAATACGACTTGTATATGCGTCTGTAAGTATTTTGCGCGTTTGCGCCATAATGCTCCTGGAGATCGTAATCCAAATACGTTAAAATACAAAATAACTGACCAAAGAGTTTTATGAGCAAATCTCGTGATTCGTCATGTGACCCGGCCCTGTCTGTGCATGACAACGTCAATTATCATCAAGATAACACGCGTGATCAGCATGTGAACACCTCATTGGATCACAGTTAGTTGTCATGGTGTTGAGGGCCCAATGACCTCTGGGTACTATTGCGCAATTTTTCCATTTTGTGGCGGAGGAAAAAAAAAAAAAGACGGCAAAAAAACAAAGGCATTTTATGACTGGGCTACCACAGGTATCCCAGTAAATAGCTAAAAGAGAGAGTCACAAGGCTTGATTGTTTCAAGTTGATTTCTTAGAAATCGTCTACCTTTGCTCGCTCGCTTTTGCCGGACGGACAACATGGACATTAAAACGTTGTTCCATAATCTTCGAGAAGAAGTGTCTTGTCCAGTGTGCACTAACATATACAAGGATCCAAAACAACTCCCATGTCTCCACAGCTTTTGTCTGCATTGCTTGAATCAATGGCACAGAACAAGCCATGGCCGAGACACAATCAGATGCCCGAAGTGCCAAGCTCTTAGCAGAGTGCCTGAAAGTGGCGATTTGAAAGATCTTCCCACCAGTTTTTATCTGAACGGCTTGATTGATGTGCTGACAATTAGAGAATGTAAAACCAGCCAGGTGAAATGTGGAAATTGCGACAAGAGCAACTCGGAAAGTTCGTATTGTTTCCATTGCTGTGCATTTTATTGCCAAAAGTGCGTAATTGCGCACAACATCATGAAAACCTACAAAGATCACCGTGTCCTGGCGCTTAAAGAATTTCAAGACAAGGACTATGAGGATGTAATGAAACGACCTGACTTTTGTCCTACGGAAGATCACAACAAAGAAGAACTGAAGTACTTTTGCAAGACTTGCGAAATGCCAGTTTGCCAAATTTGTGTCACATTGGACCATGGAGCCCATGATATGAAATTAATCAAGGAAGAGGCAGAAATACAGAAGAGTGAGATGAGGTCGTTGGTTAAAAAGCAGAGACGTAATTTGCAAGCTAAGATGAAAACCGTCAATCAACTTGATGAAGAGTTCGCTAAACTGATGCAACAAGGCGAAGACGTGAAGAGAGATGTTCAAAGACTTGTTGACAACCTCGTTGCCGTTATTAAGGCGAAAAGGCAGAATATACTATCATCGTTGGAGAAAGAAACGAGGAGATCGCTTGATCTTGTAACGGAGCGAAAAACCGAAATTCAACGGCAAATCACGGCCATAGAATCTTCGCTGGAAAACGCTAATAAGCTTTTAACTCGTAGTAGTAACGCTGAAATCGTTCAATCAAAGAAATCATTAGACACCATTTTTGAAGGAGTTGATCAAACCGCGCCAATTGACCGTGACAACAAAAGCCTCCCGGCTGGTTTCGTTTTCGAGAAAAATATAAAACTGTTGGAGACTGTCAAAACTGATGACATTGGAACTTTGCAAATCTTGCAACCCACTACGGCAAGTCATTTTATTTGCGAAGGCAAAGGAATTGAAGAAGGAATTGTAAACCGTGAGGCACAATTTACTTTGACCTCAAGGAATGGTCGTGGTAAACAGTGTTACGATAAACGTGACCATGTCACAGTGAAGATCAGATACGAACGAGGACGAGAATGCGCGACGAAAGGAGGAATAAATGACTGTGGAGATGGACTCTACCAGATCAATTATACTCCAAAATATCAAGGAAGGTGTCAAGTGAGTGTACAGGTAAACGGGGAACATATTCACCAGAGTCCTTTTCTCGTACTCGTAAAACCATTTCAATTCAAACCTGTTTTAACTTTCGGTGAGGAAGGTTCGTCTTTAGATATGCTTAACAATCCTTTTGGGCTGGCTGTAAATGCCAGGGATGAGATAGCTGTTTCTGATAATTTCAATCACACAATTAAAATCTTTAACAGTGATGGAAATTATTTAAGATCCTTTGGTCGTTGGGGTAGCGAAGCGGGAGAACTTGAATATCCTAGAGGAATAGTTTTTCATAATAATGGGAATATTTTTGTCGCGGACAATTCGAGTCGAATTCAGATTTTCAATGGGAGGGGTGAGTTCGTAAGAAGCTTTGGTGGCCGTGGACATCTTGATAACCAACTCAATGATCCTTTGGGTTTATCTGTAGACAGTGACGGTAATGTGATCGTTGCTGATAGAGGAAACAGCTTAATCAAAATCTTTTCTCCCGATGGAAAGTTCCTTATGAAAATAGGTGGGCAGGGCTTTTTTAAATCGCCTTTCCATTGTATTCAGTATGATAGATATTTCATAGTGTCAGACAACGATGAAAATTGTATCAAAGTTTTTGACAGGAATGGAAACTTTCAATACGCGTTTGGAAAGGAAGGTAGAGGGGACGGGGAATTTCGCGGTCCTTGTTTTATAGCAGTGAACAAATCAGGAAACCTGATGATCTGTGATGGAAGTAATGACAGAGTACAAGTGTTTGAGCCCAATGGTAAGTTTATTGGCAAGTTTGGAACAAAGGGTAGCAGTTTAGGAGAGTTTAAATTTCCTACGTCCCTGGCAATTTTAAGTAACGACCGAATTGCTGTATGTGATCACGATAACCATCGTATTCAGATCTTTGAATGAAATAAACATCAACATTAGGTCAGGAGTTATAAGAATATAGTGAAAAAAAAATGTTTTCATGCCGGTTTAGCTCAACGGTCTTCAGTCGGATACGCGGATCAATTTTTACCAGCTGCGCGCTAATTCTCCCTTAAAGGTAATCATGAAAAATAATCGGTGTCATGTAAAATGTACGAAAAAATTTGACACGTTCATAAAAATCTTTAAATAGAAACATAAATAGGGAAAAGGAGAACTAGAAGGAAAACTTAGGGCTTTTTTGACTCAAAGCTTATTCAGTCAGGGGTATTTTTGTTGAATTCCCAAAAACATTATTACTCTTTTAAGCTTTTCTTGCTGGAACACAAGGACCGGAGGAATCTCACTTGGCTGTATTCCTAACTTAATTCACACTACAATTGCAACTCGACTCGATCTTGTTGACTGACCGTTGATACACTTTAAGCGAACCATTCCACGCGAACCTTACACGGCCTTCGTTTAGCAGATAGGTCTTTAACAGATGCAGAGTGAGACAAACGGTCAATCCGCAAGACTAAGTCAAGTGGCAATTATAAGGTAGCTGTAACTGAAAATACTGTTAAATACAACCACTCTTCTCCCTGTCGCTTGAGAGGCTCTTTTAATCACCTCTCAACTTTGCCATAAAAAAACCTGCAATTGAGATGTAGGGCCATTTTCGCCGCTTCCAGCATTGCTCTCTCAACGTACACGCTTACGCAGATGTTGACCGCCGAGTTTTTTCACTCTACATAGGAGACTTCCTTCATTTCTGTAGGTTACTCTTCCCAGTCCTCTTCCTAACATTGAAAACTCACACAGCGTGCGTTATGAAGAAGACTGGGAACAACTTAATTCCTTTGCAAGACATTTGTGGGGTAGCTTTGTTATATTATATTGGCTGTCTTATGATCAGCGTAGGAGAGAACAAAGTTTATAAGTTGGCTTGTGACGTTGATCAATAGTCCTTAAAGAGTTGCGTCAAACTTATTCCAAAAATGTTTTATATCTAATTAGATGAAGAGCATCAGCGGTCGAGCCTTTGATGCAGATAAGGAAACATTAGATTCTACGTTCGGTACATGAAAGTTTCTGTTTTCAATTATGATTTTTTGGTAGAAAAACTGGTAGTCAAGTATTACCGTTTAAGGATATTTATATGATCTATGAAGGCTATTGAAATCTGATAAGTGAGGCTTCTGATAGCACATTACACAGAACTTCTGCATAATCTTTGTCTAACTTCGACGCCACTTAATTGTATTTAATTTGATGTAGTTGTTTCATATTATTGCTTCTTGAGCAAAAAACGTTTAATCAAGCTCATTTGTACATATTGAGATTAAAAATTATAATTAAGGATGGTATCTAGTTGAGTCAGTACTTAAGCCTTTAATTCCTTAGAGTAACTAGGATCCTATTTCTCCTTACAATGTCACCCCTGAAACAAGCAATGGGGTCAGGAGAATAAAGGAATTGATCACCAACCAAAGATACTCAAGACAGCTAAACAAATTCTCCTTTTCAGCACCTTAGGGAATGTATAGAGACAGTAAGGAGAATATGCACACTGATACTAGGGTGTAAAGGATTAATACACTTTACTTTATGAAATTAACCCTTTAACTCCCAGAAGTGATTGACATGCAACTTCTCTCTATAATATTCATACATCGTCCAGCAAAAAGGTAATTAAAATACTCAAACTTATCATGAAGAAGTTTTTATTCTGATCTAACACCAAATTCTTGTAACTAATTTGCAATGTAGTGTGTAGCAGCTAGAGAGGAGAGTTAACAATCAGATCTTGGGAGTGAAAGGGTTAACTTTAGATTGGTGTATTCTCAAGGATATCATGCAACAATGATATAATTTATGGCTTAAAAGTTAATTTTAACCTTGCTTTTATAGCAGCACTTTTTATGTTTGGTTATTTAAGGTAGCAAATCGTAGTTTTTTCGAAATGGATGGGCAAGCAGCTGAGTCAGGAGGACTCACTTCTGAAAATGACAGTGCTCTTTCAAAGGATGAGAATTACCAATTTGATGAAAACATGCAGGTTTTCAAATCTTAAATGATCACTGTTGAGACTTTCCTCAGGCTATTGAAGCTTTCTTAGAATTAAGGCTCCCCACCCCACCCTCACTGCACAATGAGGTCAATGAGTGAAATCAATTACTTTACATATAAGAATTGATTGTTCTTAAATAAAAGGGAAAAGAGTTGTGCAACAGATTACAGTTGCAATAGATAACAGCAATGGTGAAGAGGGCAGCTTTTTACTCCTTACTAGTTTCGGTCATGGCCTGCATGACCTTCTTGTGCAGAGGGGGGAGGGGTGAGGACCAGTTTTTAGGTTTGTAGACCAACCGTGCTCTTGGAAGGATCTCTTATTGCCTGAATGGTTTGATCTCAAAAATTGGTGGTAGCCTGCCCCATAAAAAGTTAGTGGCCTGTGGCACTTAGACTCTTCCAGAGCACTGCCTTGATTGTACAGCCCTTTAATGAAGTGTCTTCCCATAATTCTTGTTTAATCTAAGTATCTTTTAGCTTTTGAATAAAGCAGTTAAAATTATCAAATGTGGTTCATTCAGTGTCTAACAGTATTGCTTGATGATTAGCTTTGATTCATCAATGCAAAAAAGTCCTATCATTTCTTTCTCTCCCAATTTTAATTTCTTGTCTTCTCATTGTAACCTAAATAGAGTGCAGATTTTGCTTATAGGATATGTGTGAGGAATGGGGAGGACTTGCCTTTGAAAGTGACAGCTGTCGTATTGAAATTTATCCAATCCCCCACCCCTCTCCCCCTGATCACACCCTAACATCACTATGGAAGTTCTCCGTACCCTTTTTAACACATTTCCTATCGGGGGTAGAGACAAGAAGAATTCTTTTAACAATCAAAGCGTTGTAGGTTGAATATCATTTCCTTTTTTCTCATAATCTCAATAAATGATTCAACAGTATCATTGTAAGGAGAAATTAGATGCTGGTCCCTCTTTAGAATTACTCTGGGTACAATGGAAAGTTAGAAGTGGGTTTTACGTGTAACTAAACAAACATTTTAAACTGTCAATCTATCATCTTGACAGTTTGTACTGTTGTATAATAACAATCAGAGGCAGAGAATTCTTTCCTTTACTTTCCAAGAGAGTCATGTTTCCTGTTTGAGACTATCAAAACCCTAACGTGACGAATCAGGATGTTGGAAAAACACACATTGACTGTGAAATGATGATTGAAAATGCTGCAATAGGGGTGGCAAATATTTTCTTGAATGAATAGTTTACGAGCAAGTAGCATTAGTGCGATGACCATGGTGTGTTGAGGATCCGCCACTTAGCAAACTCTTTGATAAACATCGTGAGCTTAGGTTTAGCCTGTGGCAATAATCTTATCACCTGGAAGTTCATCCCACTGATGTAGAGTGGTTGTCCTGTGCCACTTTGCCTGATTAAGGGTGTATCTTTTGTTGTAATTCACCACAGTGTCACCAGGGTCATCTTAAGTCTGGTATCTGATGAAAAAAAACAAATGATGCACACATTAAGTAAGTTTACTCACAAAACTAATAAAAGGCTACACAAATAAAACTAGTGATTTAAACAATATCTGACTTGAAGGTTTGAAACATTGGACGAGTCTTGAGGTTTCTTCACGCAAGGGTTGTATGAAAAAAGTAATCTTTTTCATAGTGTTAGCTTAGCCATCTATAAAAGCAGAGATGTTTTCTGTCTCTTCACAAACATGGAACATAGAATAATGTCTCATTTCCCATAAGAATCAAACCTCTGACCTTCAAATTTCTACCAGTGACTTGACTTTTTAGAGTGCTTTTCAACTGAATGCTGAAAAACCAAGACCAAAATATTCACAGAAACCAATCAGAAGAAAGGAAAATACCCTGAATAGCCAATGAGAAATCAAAGTGAAAAGAAGCAAACCAACTAAGGTGCAGGAAAACATGGACAGCCAAGTCGTGATTGGTGTGAGTTTTGCATCAGCTTGCTTGAGAGGATGGCGTGAGTTTTCTGGACCAACCACAGAGCAAAGTTAAGTAAAATCAGAGAAATCCTGGATTTTTTGCGATTGATGGATATGCTTTAAAACTGGTCAAACCTGTTCAAGCAGGATTTCTGCTGCGCTTACAATGAATTCGTCAGTGCCCATTAACTGACTGGTTGCTCCACTCTTCAGTAATGCCTGATAAAATGCAAAAAGTGATACTGGTCAAACACTGGCTTTAACTCCCAAGATCTGATTGTTAATTCTCTCCTCTAGCTGCTGCACATTTCCATATAAATTAGTTAAGAACTTGATGCTAGATCAAGATAGCAGCCCCTACCTGATAAGTTTGAATATTCTCATCACCTGTTTGCTGAATAATGTAGGGATATTATAGGGAGAAGTTTGATGTTATTCACTTCTGGAAGTTAAAGGGTTAAGAATTTTCAAGTGTCCATTTTCATCTCAAACAAAAAGAACCATCTTTTTTTTTTTAAAAATAACCAAACTGCTCAAATGCAGGAAAAGTAATTGACTAAGTTTGGTTTTACTTTTGCATCTGATTGGCTGAAAGGATGGAACAAATTTTCCAGACCAATCACAGGGCAAAATACAACTTGGATTACTTTAACAATACTCAAATGAAAATTTGCTAACTAACCTCAGCCATTACTTTATTGAGTCGCTGAGAACTCAACATGGAGCCAGTGTGAATGATACTGCAAGTTAAGATGAACTCATTAACATGTATCAAGCTTGATATATGAAAGAAGAACCCTCTTGATAAAAAAAATGATACATGAAAGGGTACAGCTTGTAGCATCCATGCACACATCTTTATGATAACACATCCCACATCCCACTTCCCCCACCCTCTGGTGGGTGGGTGGGGAATTGTTTAACCACAAAGTGGTCACACAGGGTAAGGGTGGTGCATGCATAGTCTAGGGTTTGATATGAAAATACATCAGAGCTGATCACAGTGTTCTAGAATGCTCCAAATCTAGAATGAGCAGCACCCGGGCTACCCTCCTGTCGCCCTCTTTCAATCAAAGAAGACTAATATTGGAAATTTTTCATAATCATCCATGCTGCTTTTATGTAGAAGTATATTGGTGTCCACCATAGTGCATTCTAGATGTAAAAAAAAGTTTTTGTTTTACTGACCTGATGGGATCAGCTGTTGTCTTGACAACTGCCTGTCGTAGTTCATTTAAAATCGCTTCACAGAGATTTTTATCAGCTTTGCCTACAAAACAATTATAAAAATTTTCAGCTCTACAGTTCACCTGCCTGTGTGACAAGGTTCTGATGATGGTTCTGATGATGTAAAAAGAAATTTGTTAGTCACTCTTGACCCTTTAACACATATGATTTGATTGTCAATTCTCCCCTCCAGCTGCTACATATTTCCCTTTAAATCATTTACAAGAATTTGGCGTTAGATCAAGATGACAACTTCTACTGGATAAGTTTGGGTATTCTCATTATCTTTTTGCTGGATAATGATGGATATTATAGGGAGAGGTTAGTTGTTAATTATTTCTGGGAGGTAAAGGGTTAAGAGAAAAAAGTAACCAGAAGTGAATCATGTGCACCTCTTCCTGTTAAGTCCAACTCACTGTACAGTGATTCCGCTTGTTTCAAAAAGTCTACAGAGAAATCAATTGTGAGCAAAACATTATTAGAACTGGACATCTACTCAGAACAAAAGACGTACAGTATAGAAGTAGCATTCAGTCAATTTGAGAATAAAGAAATCCTAGAGACATGATTAACTTGCACAGAAACTAGTTCAGATCTAGGAACTGTAGCACAAAGCTTTCAAGATAAAAGTGCCCAAAACAAAAGACATCTTTCATTACAGTTTGTCATTGATAGTAATCAAGCATCCACAGGTGAATTACTGCTCTTACCTTGATATATAAATGTGGATAAAACTCCAAGTTTAAAAACTGGAAAGCGAATCACCTCATGGCTAAAGCACATGATTCGCTTTTGGAGAGGTTCAGATTCTGCCCCGGTCAAGTCCCTGGAACAGAGCACTGACTCAGTATAAAGTAATTTCCAAGTTACTCCTAAAATATTTTCTGCCAGTCAAGTTAGTTGATATAATTTTGTTTGCTGTTTAAGAGTAAAAGGATGTTCTAGGAATTCTGTCATCCTCTGGCCATCAGCATGTTTTCTTTTGAGATTTAGTGTTCTCTTCTCACAATACTCTAAGGTTATTTTTAAAATTTTCTTATTTTCCCTGAGACTAATATCATAGGTTGACAAGCCTGAGCCTGCATGAAATGAAAGTTTTTACTAAAGCAGATGTGAAACTGAGTATGCTCTTTTTGAATGTGGTGTTCTTTTTACAAACAATAGAAAACTTGAGCAGAGACATTTTTTAGATGTGGACAGCAACTGAAAGAAGAATAAAACTCCTAGAGCCCTTAGACACCAATGTATTGGCTGCAAGGTTGTTGTTGAGACATTTTAAACCAAACTGTGCTGCCCAGAAAGGTGTAATGATCAGCAAGAATTAGAACTTTTAACTTCCGGCTGCCATGTCAAAAACCTTTGTGCTTAAGCTCCCTTTAGCTAATTAAAGAGCCTGTGAGACCCCTATGTAATGGCTGAGACTTACCAGTTCTACAAAAATAAGAAATTTTAAATATCAATGATAGTGAATTAATAGTTAGGATGATGGACAACTGGCATTCTGATAAATATTTAAAACCAGTTAACACTGATTTAAGTAATAACTTGATCTCCTTACTTGCATAACAGAGTCAATAAATCATTGTATGTTTTTCCAGTAAGTCCTCGTAGACCATTACTATCTAACAAAAACAAGAAATGATTTTTAATTAGTCTATTTCAACTTAAAATCTGACTAAGTCTGTCCCATGATGCACAGGTTAACACTTTACACCCTGACATCAGTATCTATATTCTCAAAACTCTTCTCTATACATTTCCTGTGGTACTTGGAAGGAGAATTTGTTTAACAATCATTCCCTATATTCCCATGATCTTGACCCTCTAAGACCCACTAGTGACCAAGACAGAATTTCTCCTTACACTATAAGTACAATATCAAGCAGACAAGTAACGAGAAACGAGAAAAATATTCAATTCACATTTAATTCCAAATTCTCCAAACTAAGTAAGAAGAATTACTAATGGGATCTTAGGAGTTAAAGGGTTAATGAATGATTCAGTAGTATTATTGTAAGGTGAAATTAGATGTTTGCCAGTCTCTCAGGGTTTAACCCTTCAACTCCTAAGATCTGATTGTTAATTCTCCCATCCAGCTGTTACACATTTCCATGTAACTTAGTTACAAGAATTTTGTGTTATATCATGATAACAACCTCTTCCTGATTAGTTTGAGTATTCTCATAATCTCTTTGTTGGATAGTGTATGGATATTGTAGGGAGAAGTTACATGTAAATCACTTCTGGGGGTTTAAGGGTTTAGAGCTTTTACAACTGTACAAGTCATGTACTTGTAAAATATATAAATAAAGGGGGTAAGTTTCTAAAGAAATTGTGGTGCTACGTTGGGAGTATAACAGGGTAATTAAGTATTATCAGCTGTGTTGATAATACTTAAATTGGCCACTGTAAAGAGTTTAAAAGCTGACGTTTTGAGGATTAGTCCTTCATCAGAGTGATTGGAGGAACTATGGGTTGTGTTTGTGTTTGTGTTTATATGCAGAAAATGGAGCTACACTGTTGGTGAGAATATGGTGACGACCAATAGTGTAGCTTCATTTTCTGCATATCAACACACACACAACCCAACGTCTGCTTTTAAACTCTTTACGGTGGCCAATTTACGTTATCAACTCACTTTTCTGTTGTTTCAAGATGTTATAGGCTGCTGCCAGGTTGATTTGGAAAGATGGTCTTGAATGATGTGCTAGCAGCAGTTTTTGATGGGCCTTCACAAGGGCCGTGGTTGTGATCGCGCGGCTGTCAAAACTTAAGTCAATCATTCAAAAATGTTGTTAATGGACAAATGAAATTTTCAATTTTTGTAGACTCGTAAATCACTGCTGGCGGATCGAGATACTCACAACTCAGCCATAAAAGCGATTGGATCCTCAGGCCTGTTTTCAATGATAAGAGTTATTGCATCTTTGATGTCACTTGTAATACCAGTGCGCGCTGCAAAATAATTTGTTGATAAATGTTGATTAAAATCATTGTTTCTAAGGTTAGCTTAAAATTCTTTTAATCTTGCTTCAGCTTCGAAAAAAAAAATGACCCTACTTTCATCACTTGAAATTACTTACAGAGAAAGTCAAGAGGACTCTCCGTTTTCTCTGGTTTAGAATCTCGATCATCAAACAAATTTGTTTTGGAAGGCTTTTTATCCGCCATTTTAGTTTTTCTGTAAAGTCGAGAAAGACTGGAATTGAAGTTACGCCTCAGTTCAGTGTACATGAATAGAAAAATAAGTGTTCTCTTTGGGGGAAAAAACAGAATAGCACACGAGTATTTGTGGCGAAGTAAGAATATTTCAGAGATGGACGCAGAAAATAATCTAGAGAGTCCAGAGCAAGAGATCGAGCTCTTGGAAGATGATTTTGTAGAAGTGGTAGATTTAGATGGTGACGATGAAGTAGAGGAAGGTACTACTGTTATATCGATGAAGACTTCACAGTCTCTTGAAAATCTCCACACGTGTTTTGCTAGCATGTCAGTATAGATTCCCGATTTGTAATAACCAACTCTAGCATCATAAATAGAAAGTTGTGAACTCAAACGACAACCCTATATATTACAAGCGAAAGTTAAAAACTCTCAAGACCCCTGCTTATTTGCTCGTAAGTGCCAAGATAAGAACGTCAGGTATTGCATCAAAGTGACGTCCGTAAGCTGATAAGTTTGCATTTTCTCATTACCTTGTTTCTCTACTGGACGATCTCTTTGATTTTTTGGGAGAAATCATTTGTTAATCACTTCTGGCTCTGGCACTGGAAGGGTTTAAGTACCTTAAGGTGGTTTTCTTGTTCAATTAGATACCCCTTCTGTTTTTCCAACCCCCCCCGCCCCCTCCCTCCCTCAGCAGCGGTTTATGCAGATTATGTTTGCTGCCTTGTCGTTTTAGTATAGAAATTTCAACTGAGTGTTGTAGATAATCTTGAATCTCCAATCATTTTTGTTGTTGTTTCCTGGACTCCCTGATTACACTAGAAAACTTGCACCAGCTTCTTAATCAACCACATGCAAAACTAAAACTAACTGTGATGTGATCAAGTATTTTTTCACCCCTCAGGTGATTCACCTATGTTTACACTTACTCCTGGTTAGTTCCTTGTGATATTTTTCTTCATTCTGGTGGGCTGTTGTGATTAGTTTGACATTTGGCCTTATTCAGCCAAAATGTGTGCTGATCAATTCCCTGCCCACAGTATAACTCGGAGTATAACATCTCAAAACAACCGATGTTTTAGTCAACTGGCTTCAAATACCTCTCTAATCCTTTACACCCTAACATCAGTATGCAAACTTTCTATACTATTCTTGATAAATTTTCTGAGGTGCTGTCACATGGAGAATTTGTTTAACAATCAAGAGCTTCTTTAGTTGGTGATCATTTCCTTTATTCTCATAACCTAAATGTGTGATTCAGGGATGATATTGTAAGGAGAAATTAGGTGCTAATCACCCTCAGGGGTTCAGGGGTTAAAGGGTTAACAAATTATACTTCCAGATGGACTTGCAATTGGAATGGAGGATGTTGGTTTCACAGATGACATGAATGATCAAGATGGTGAAAGTGTTGGTATGGCTGAAAAAGATGATGCAGACTTGAGCTTCCAAAAGCATACTGGTGATTATTACAGTTATAATGTTAAGCAAATTTTATCAGCCACTATATCTTGCCATCAGGAAAACATAAGGGCTGCAATCATGTCTTTACATCACCAAAAGTTGCTTTAATTGTTGTTGTTTTTTTTGCCAAAGGAGTTTTTAAATGATTTTTACAAATTCCTTGGGATGAACTAGCATTCCATCCAAGGGGGAGTAGTGATACTCCTGGTCGCTTATTTATGTTAAGGAAACTGGGTAAAATCCAGCAGGGTGGGCCAATTGACTCCAGTACAGACTTAAGTTTACTTTTTCTTCATCAGCTTCTATCTTCTCAGTGGCAATTGAACCAGTGAATAGTTCTGTGGCAGTTTCTGGTGGAGAAGATGACAAGGCTTACATTTGGCAAATAAAAGATGGACAGACAATTTTTGAGTGCCATGGTAAATAGAAACTTGTGATTCAGTGGAACTGAACATAATAGATTAATTGTTAATTTTTTCATTAAATGTAATTATGATGTTATTAGGCACCTTCAGACTTTATTTCACAGAGTTACAACATTTTCATAGTTCCAAACTAAGGTAAATCTCAATTTGTAATTTAATGATACACTAGCTAACCCTAATATGCATTTGTTATAAATTTTTTTGCCTTACTTTTAGCTATAGTTATGAATCTAACACCATATTTTTTGTCATAAAGTTATTCTTAGAATTTTAAACTTAGTCTCATTACTTTATCTGTCTTTTTTTGGGAAAGGTGTTGGCATGCTCCTCTATAAATTACTAACTCAGTATGTACCTCTAACACTTGTCTAAAGTTTACCCACAGCAATCATTCAAAATGAAGTTAGTTTTGTATCCTATGTTCTGGACTAGACCTTAAAAAGACCAAACATACCTGTGGCTTCATTCACATTGCTTGGTTGAGCAAAACATAATTTCTTGTTAATGATTTCATGTTGTTAGAGTGCTTAACAGTGATTTAAAGACAGTTTTATTGCCCTAATTAATTGGATTTTTAAATTTACTTAGTGTATAGCATTATGATATCTTTTTTCTTAATTTTATTTTCACAAGGTCATAAAGATTCTGTGACATGCACAGCTTTCAGTCACGATGGGAAATTTGTTGCCACTGGTGATATGAGTGGCTTCATTATTGTCTGGGATGTTGCTACAAAAAAGGAAGTTTGGAGCTTTGAGGCAACAGACCTAGAGGTGAGAGGTATATGATGTTATAATTGACTAAACTTTTTAGAACAAGCTACCGTTAAGGCTACTTGTTTTTTAAATAAAAAAAAATGATTGGAAAAATTGCTTTTAATAGTAACTAAACTAAAATGTTGAAGTGTCGATCTCAGGTTGTCAAAAATTTGTTTGTTATTGACAGAGGTTCATTTTTACCTATGGCCACCTTGTGAAAAACTGTCCAAACTTTTCTTAACAGTGCAAACTCCCAATAACTTATGAATCAGGGCAAGCTGGCATTTTTGTAAACATCCAGTCAGTCAGTCTGTCTGTCTGTCTTTTTGTTTGTTTATCTGTCTGTCCCCTGTCCATCTGTCTGTTAGCCAGTCAGTTAGTCAGCCAGGCTGTCTGTCTCTGTCTGTTTGTACTTCTGTCAGTTTCCTTTCAATCCATGCATTAGTCTGTCTGTCTGTTCATCTGTCTGTTCATCTGTCCATCCTTCTATATATCCACTCACCTACCCATCTGCCCATCCTTCCTTGCATTGATCAACTGATTCATCCACATTTTTTGTGTCATTTCAACCACTGTGAGAATTCCTTTGAAGTTGTTTTTCCTGTAATTGTCTTGATGTAAATTTTCAGTGGCTAGAATGGCACAATGAGGCAAATGTGCTCCTAGCCGGGACAGCAGATGGTAATGTGTGGATGTGGAAAGTTCCAAGCTCAGATTGCAAGACATTCCAAGGTCATGGATGCCGATCAACATGTGGGATGTTCATGAAAGATGGTAAAGAAAATTAACCAGAGCAATTCCAGTTTAGCATTGGTCAGCAGTAATCTGGGATTGCTTTGGTTTTCCTTTAAATTGCCTTTTTGTTTACTGATTAGATTCAGAACTTAAAACAAGATTTACTTTTTCACTCATCTCTCCACACCTTGAGCAGTTTGTTCTTTTAATTAGCTCTTTTCCTGTTGAAATGTGCTGTGTTTGACATGTCTGGTGGCCATGCAATAACTAAGCTCTTTTTTTGTCAACCTTTGGACCTCAAGAACAATTTAACTTTCTCCTGATAAAACACTATAGATTAAACCATTCACAAGGTATTGCAAAAGAACAGAATTGTGATTTCCAAGAATAAAAAATTATGTTCTAGTGTTCAAACTTTTTGAGATAATCATCATTTGGCTTTTTCAACAATGAAATAATTGTAATGCTTCAAGTTTTGTTGGAAATTTGTAATAGGTAAGCGAGCAAGTGTTGGATATGAGGATGGAACTTTAAAACTCTGGGACTTACGACAAGGAATGCATACTTTTCATTTATCAGGTAAAAATCCGAGGTACTTGTTTCAGGGACATTTTTCATTGATGCACGAGTTGATTGAGAAGGTCCTAGCTTAGAGAGACACCGATAACAACTGCTATGTGCTTATTGCTGTCTGCTTTACCCTTAATACCCTAACTTCAAGACGCATATTTTCCATACATATTCTCTCTACATTTCTTATGGAGAATTGGTATTACAATCAAAAGCTTCTTTAGTCAGTGATCATTCCCTTCATTCTCACGACCATGATGTTTAATTCAGGGGTGAGAAGGTGAGGAGAAACTAGTTTCTAGTCACTCTTAAGGGGCAATTGGCTAAACCCTGTCACTGTATGGAATGACCAAGAAGGAATTTTTCCACACAATGTTATTATATTTTCAAGCACAAAGGTGACGAGGAGAAAGAAAAGTTTCAATTATAGGGGATAGTGTTTGATCCAAAACCAAATTCTCAGACCTAAAATTATCATAAATGTATGGCAGAAAGTGAGGAGAATTGATATTTAGATCTCAGGAGTGAAATGTTTATAATAGAGATTGGTGGCCTGGATCATATATTGGAAAAGGCTTTACTTGTGGACACAAGAGTTCTTTTTATGGAATTTAAGACAAATCAAGTATTGTGATATGAAACATTGTTCTTAAGTTAAAGCCTTTTTAATTTGAATAATAAGTTTAGCAGGCAAACAACTTGTTCAGTTTCTTTTTATAGATGGCACAGCTCACCAGGGTTCTGTAACATGTATAGATGGACATAGAGATAATGTTCTTGTGGCAACAGGATCAGAAGACTCCACTGTCAAAATAGTCAACACAAACAGTGGGAAGGTAAAAAAGTCTTGAGTGTTTTTTCTTTTTCTGTATATTACACAAGACATAGTTAAAAGGCTCAAGGGTTTAACACAGTTTCTTGCTCCTTGTTTTAACCCTTTACCTCCCATAAGTGACTAAAAGAGAAGTTCTCCTTACAATATCAATATGATATCAAGCATAGGAGTGATGAGAATAAAGTAAAATGTAAATTAAGGGATTATTAGTAGATCCAATACCAAATTCTCCAATTGGACATCATAAGAATTGTATGGCAGACAGTAAGGAGAATTACTAATGAGATCTTGGGAGTTAAAGGGTTTACATAGCTGTTGATGAGTAATCCTTCAAATAGTTTTAAATATTTTTAGGATTGCTTAAAAATACCCTGGAAGAAATTTTGTACAATAACCATTTCCTAGTTATGAATGGAATTGAATGCATAAATTACAAGTAATTGGTAAAGATATGTGAATTGATTCCATTCAACATTTTCTTGAAGGTTTATGCAAGGTTTGTATAATAACTGTGGTATTTGAACTGAATAGTGTCCAGTTTTGCATGTAATCTAGGGAAACAACATGGTATCTATACTAACCTGGCTCTCTTAAAATTGTGATTTGCCTTCCTCTTTTATATTCATGACATACATACTGCATGTCATGCATACTCTTTGACAGCCCTGGAAGCACCATGAGAGGTTAAGATCTTGTTAAGAACACAGCTTTTCGACCTTGGCTACAGACTTTTCAGTAAGATACCAGTAAGCCAGCCTTTAATTACTTATAAGTGACTGTATGCCTTGCTGCTAAGAGTAGCCTGCAAAATGGGGCTGTTTTTGTTTGCCTTGTTGTTTTCTTTGATCTAATTATTTCGTCAATCTGTTTTTTTCCCTCAGGTACTGAGTACTTTGGCTGCATGTTTTCAATCCGAGAATGACAGTGACCCACCTCCATCTATTGAAGCTGTTGGATTCTCTCCCCAGTAAGAATTTGAATTATCAAAAGTATGAATTCATTTCTTGGAAGTACTGATTCGAGATTTGACAGAAGCAACCACTTGAACCTCAAAATATGTTATTGAGGGATTGGATTGACTGTGGCTGTCACTGTGGTGATTGAGGCAGTCTTTGTCAAAGTTTTCGTCATCATTTCTATTATTACCTTTCTTTAAGGCAATTCAAAATTTATTCATAACTTGATAGAGAGTAGCTGAGTAGAGTGGGGGGGAGGAGTCTTAATCCCATTTCTCACACAAATTTAAAAAAACCAATGCATCACATTATACTTCGTCTCACAGTATTTCATGTTACAAATTTAAAAGGGACAGTTTCTTTAAAATTCACTTGACGTTAATTTTGGTCTTAATCGTGTGCATGTATAACTCTTTGCCACCTCCATGCCAGAGAAGGCATTGATTATTGCAAGTTGTTTTTCAGTGCTTTATTTTGTGTTTATCATGACTTGTCCACAGGCAACCCATGCTAGCAACAGCATCATTAAGTGGGGTCCTTGGGGTGTGGGATTTGTCATCATACAGGCTTCGTCAGGAGTGTAAACATCCGGTGAGTTAAAAGAATTTTTATCCTTTCACTCCAAAACTCCAATCAGTAATTCTCCCTACTGACAGCCATACATTTCATTGTAAATGAGACAGGAGAATTTGGTATTTTCTCGAGATAAAAGCCTAAAGTGGATGAGCTTGTCTTGATTTGAAAAACATATTAAGCTTTATTTGCACCATTAGGGAGGGATAGTGCGATTGAAGTGGGATGCTGCAACACCTCTAATATATACTGGATGTCTGGATGGTGTAGTGCGTCTATGGGACAGTCGATCAGGAAATTGTGAACGAGAGTGGTATGGTCACAATGGGGAAATACTGGATCTCGCTGTGGCCAGGTAATACAATCTCTTTGGTTTACAAATCATGTTTCTGTAGACCCTTCCTCGACATCTATGTCTCATAGTCAATAATGTAAGATTATTTTGATAGATTTGCAAACTTTGCTCTTGGGTTATAACTGATATGGACGTAGTTGAAATCAGTTCACCCCAAAAAGTTACATCTTTACACCCTAACATATGTGTGCATTTTCTTCATACTGTTCTCTGTACACTTCCCAAGGTGCTGACAAGGAGAATTTGTTTATCAAATCAGAGAATCTTTAATTGGTGATCATTTCCTTTATTCTTGATTAGAACATCTGACTGCTAGAGAACAGAAAATTGACTTTTCGCTGAAATTCAAAGTTTTTTTCCTTTTTCCTGGACAATTAATACTGCAGCTCTTTAGAATAAAAAATTTCTTAACTCTTTAACTCCCAGACTTTTATTAGCAAGTCTCCTCATTTTCTGCCATTATTTTCTTGTAATGCTAGTGTGGAGAATTTGGTATTAGACCAACTAATGATACCCTAATTCATGTTTTTCTCTATTTACATCACTTGTCTGCTTGGTATTGAATTGATAAATACCATTTTGGTCACTCTTAACCCTTTAACTCCCATGAGTGATCAAGACAGAATTTCTCCTTACAATATCAATACAATATCGACCAGATAAGTGATGAGAATAAAGAAGAATATCAATTTAGGGATAATTGGTTGATCCAATACCAAATTCTCTGAACTAACATTATAAGAATTCTATCATTGACAGTGAGGAGAATTAGAAATTTGATCTGGGAGTTAAAGGGTTAAGAGTTAAAGAGATAAGTGGTAAAAAACGCTCACTAACCCCTAACACTTTTCATGTTGAATAATTATGAATGAAGTGCTTGATTGAGTTCATAAGGATTGAAATGTTGGAGGTGTTAGTCTGTGATGCTTTCAAAAATTGATGATATGTAATTTAACTCTCTATTTTGCAGAGATGGGAGCTTTTTATTGACAGGATCAGGGGATAGAACAGCAAGAGTGTTCACAGTACAAACACCTGGAAGATGACAAAAGTTAGCTTCATCCCAGAGGAGTTGTAAAATTAAATTGTCACCAATAAAAACATATTAATTATCACCTCTTTGTCCTAAGGTTTATTACTGCAAGGTAAAAATCACAAATTAATACCAAAGACACCCTCAATTGGTTGGTAAAGACTAAAAACAACTGAAGAGATAGAAATTAAAGATTTTGACACAAGGATTTAAATATCAGGTAGAAGTTGTTAACTTGATCTAACACCAAATTCTCTTTACTAATTTACAAGAAAATGTGTAGCAGCTAAAGGGGAGAATTAACAATCTGATCTTAAGAGTTATAAGGTTAAGTCTCTTTATTCTGCTGTAATGGACAGAGTGAAGTGATGACTTTGACATGGAAAGGCCCATGAAGTGGGCTTTTGCTGATATCATTCCAATTTTTTTCCACTCTTTGTTTTTTTGGCATTAAACTGCTATCTCTTCCCTCTTCTCACTCTCCTTTGGATTCCTTTGATGCCTCTAGCATTCTTTCCCTTTGTTTTGCTTTGATTAGTTCAAGTCTCTTTCTGTCTACATATCTCTTGAGGAAAATAAAGGACGAGATTCCACTTGTGACTATCACCACCCTTAAAAAAATTAACAATAGAAAAACGTCAAACATGTTGGTCAAATAAAACTCTCCTTAATTTCCCTGAAAGTACATCGTTTAGTTGACTCTTCATGTCCTAACTTCAAAATACATATTCTTCATAATATTCTTTATATATTTTCTATAGTATTGACAAGGAGAATTTGTTTCACGATCAAAAACTTCATTGGTTGGTAATTGTTTTCTTTATTCTCATGACCTTAATGACTAATTCAGCGGTGATAGCAGGAGGGAAAATTAAATGCTTGTCACTATTGGGGTGTAAATTCTATAGCAGGGTCCCCTAAGCCCAAAATGGGGTTGGGACATGGATTACTTTACACCCTAGCACTAAATTTTGAGAAACTTTGTTTCCGAATGAAATTATCAGTAAAACAACACTGCGAATTTAAGATATTCGATTCAAAAACAGACCCTAAGGGAGCGAAGAGAAAATGGATCATACGATCGTTAGCTGAGATATACCGACAAATTGCAATTCCTTACCATCCAATAGCGACCATTCGCATTCCCGATTCATACATTGGAGCCATTTTTCAATCTGTGTTACTGCAACGCAGAATCACTTTCACTCGCTGCTCGGGTATATCCGCCGCGTTACGTATCCGTCTCCTCCGCCATATTGAAAGATGAAAGAGCCTGGTAAAGAAAAAGTGAAGCTTCGCAATTACTCCTGGCCCCATCCCCCTGAGGAGTTTTGAGAAGGCTCACTTGCCAGCGATTATTGAAGTTTTGAACAGTACAAAACGCGTCTAACAAACGCTGAGGTATTTCGAATGGATTTCATCTTCATTATATTGCTTCATCAACTTCTTGGTGAAGGATTTTGAGAGGTCGTGGGTTGTGAGCTGGCACAGCAGGGGTGGGTAGGAGGCACTCCTCCATCATTACCCCCCCCCTTCCCCCACCAAGAGATCCTTCTGTGGAAGCCAGGGAGAAGTAAACTGAAAATGTTAATGAGACAACAAGTGCATAATTTAACAAATTTCATTTAATAATTTATACTAACCCTTTGGGATAACACTATCTAACAAATATATATAGCTAATATGCTAAAAATAACTAACTGTGAGGAAACTCTGATATGCTTGTCAAAGGTGCCAGTGATAAGTTTGTGGCAAAATTGACTCATTCCTGTATCTCTGCACTTTTCTAAATAATGCGCAGTAGTATTTTTTGCTTCTTTTAAGTTTGAATGACTTCAAAATTTAAATCCCAAATATCAATTGAGATCAACAGCCATGTCTCATTGCCTGAGAATCAAGTTCACAGAGGAAACCTCTACTCTTCCACCTCTTTGTTCACTCAAAAATAAAAAACTAACATAAATATTTGCACTTCAGAATATAGTAAGTGGACTGAAAATCAGCCATAAAGAGAAAAATAATTGCAACTAAAAATAAATACAGTTTTTGCTAGATAAAGCCCCAAAAGGGAAATTGCAAACATCACAACAAAAAGCTTTTGAGTAGTTCTTCCACAGGGAAGTTTTCCACATAAGCATTCCAAAGAACAGTTTTTGATAAGTTTTGTATGTGTCTTCCCAATAGAGAGGACAATGGTAAGTCCTGTAGCAGTCATCTAAATGTGAAACACCAAGGTTTTGAACTGCAAATTTTAAGTTACACCCACTGTTTACAACATATTCTACAATAGCACTTCTAGAAAGTACTGCTCAATAGCTAAAAATTATTGTCTGATTTTAGACTCAAAGTAATCATGAGGACTAAGGAGTGTAAATACAGCAAATATGTAAAGCATGTAAAAAAAATCTAAGTGCTACATGACCAAAAACATTAACAAATTCTCTCAAAACATTTTAAAGTTCATAGTTTAACATATGCTTTGCTATATTTTCAACTAAATTGTAAATTGTTTTGTAAATGTAATATTGGTGTCCAAATATTCATAGAAACAAAACAGGGATAATTAAGCTCTTGAATTTTACCAGAGCAATTTTTTTGTTTCAAATCATTCATGACATAAACTGGGTTATAAGATTTATTTTCAACAATTATCTTTAAAATAGAGTATAAATTTATATGTACCTGACACTAATCACATATTTTTTTTTTTTTGAGATTGATTCAATATTTAAACAAAAGATCTATGAGAATCATTAACTCCCTCCAAGCAGCACTCAAAAGAACTCCCAGGAAATGACAGAACAGTAAAAACAAAAACTAGCTTTGCCAAAGAAAAAGTATCTCTGATCAAAGATAGTGTGTCACGCAAATATCATTAGTATTATTTCCTCAATTCCATGAAAAATTCATGATGGATATGATAAAATAAGAAAATATGATTTAAAAAATTTGAGCTCAGAGAATAATGTCCTCATGTTATTACCCCCAGAATTCCATTGATTCTATATTAAAATTCTAGATTTGACCAGTTTAACCAACAAAAGCATGTTAAAGAGTATGGTTAAATGAAAATTTCCTTACTGTCAGTCTTTGCTGCTTATTTATTCTGATTTTTTTTCAATCCAACAGAACCCTTTAACCTCAAAGAGTGATAGGCATCTATTTTCTCACAAGAACATCACTGCTGAATCGAACGTTAAAGTCATGAGAATAAAAGATATGATCATCACCTTAGGGAGACCTTATGTGTTTAAAAAATTCTCCTGGTCAGTACCAAATGAAATGTGTAAAGTACTGTATGGAGAATATGCAAACTGATGTTAGGGACGTTAGGATTAAGTTAGAACCTAGTCTCTATGGAATGAGAAGCTAAATCTCTTTCTTGGTGCCAGTGTCTGGGTACTTTTCTCCTCAGTCCTCTTCACTGGAACTTTGTAATGAAACTCTCTCAAGAAAATCTGAAGGGTGTTTGGCAGAGGAAGATCACTGACTCCTTGAAATGTTGTGTGGCTGGAAATCACTGCACGGCACAGATCTTGCAGTGAAACTGGATTCCTCCTATGCAATGGCTTTAGCAAAAGAGGTTCATAGTACATGCACTGCTCAGCTCGAGAGTAATGCTGTAACAGCTGGCAAACACTTGTGGAGTGAAAGGAGTAATCACTAGGTTTATCAAAGCTGTAGCGATGTTTCCACTGTTCAATCCGTGCATGATAAGTACGAGAGTAGCGGCGGAAACTCACAGAGAACAGGTAGTGATATTGTGCACTATCACGCAGCAGAAAAGTTCCATCTGGAAGGCCTTCCAACACCTGAAGCAAAAATTTGAGAATCTGGATTAAACCCTTTTACCTCCATGGGCAACCTAGAGCTAGTTTCTCCTTCCAATGTCACAAAAATAACACATTGACAAGTGATGAGAATAAAGAAAAATATCAACTAAGGAATACAATTTGATTTGCTGGCAACACTAAATTCTCAGAACTACCATGGGAGGAAATGAAAGGCCGATAGTAAGGAGAATTTCTGTACTGAGCCTATACCTCCACTTACTGCTGTCTGTTAGCTTGCAAACAGGCTCTCATGTTTAGGTGTTTTCACAAGCACAGCCACCTATTAAATCAGCAACAGCCCCTTATGGAAAAAGTTGTTGAAATTCTTGCATGATGAGATAAAGAGGCTCTTGTATCTTTCCCATAATCCCTTGTCTTCTTTGTTCATTGATAACTAAATATATTATACCTTGTGTAGTGTCCAAGGGAATAATTTTTAATTTTCTAGTTACTACTTCAATCTTGTCAGGTTTCTGTGACAGTTTGCATGAAGTCATAAATGCAGACTGGTAACGAGAATTAACCCTTTAACCCCTAAGAGTGACTAGCATGTAAATTCTTATTACAGCATTCCTGTTGAATCAAGCATTAATGTCAGGAGAATAAAGGAGATGACAGAAAAGTAGAGATGGTAAGTTTTGAGCTCAGTGAAAAAACTAAGAAAGATGTTTTTTTGTCTTGTCACGAACATGGGACAAAGAAAAATTCTGAGTCTCCATGAGGAATCAAACCTCAAACCTTCGGATTTGCGCTCCAATACTCTACCACTGAGCCACAAAGACTCTTCGGTGAGCTGGGTCTATTACGAAGTTCACATGACACACGTCCCGCATACTGCTAGGATCAACAATGTCGATAGCGTAATGTTTTTGACAAAACTACTTTTCTTGTCCCACACTTGTGACAAGATGAAAAAACATCTTTCTTAATAAAGGAGATGATTCCTAACAATAGAAGCCCTAATTGAAATACAAGTTCTCCTTGTCACAACCATAGGAAATGTATAGAGAACACTTTGAGAATACACAGCTTGAAACTCGATACAAATATTAAGGTAATTTAATGGAGTGGCACAGAGCCAAACTTTACTGACAAAAATAATCGGATGACCAAAATCAACCCACACATGACATCTATGAGAAGTAGTTCTCAGTAACATCTATTGCAAGGCACCCACTCGAGTTGTTTTTTTGCAGTTTTTGTAGTTTTAATCAATGCGTATCAGCACTTTAATTACCATGAGGAACATTTTGAGGACATAGCTAATGTGATGATGAAAAAAATTATGTTTGCTCTCCTGTAAAACCCAATATATTAAAACATTTAGTTCCCATTAACAAATATCTGATGTACATAAAGTGCCTTAGGCTCTTTCTATCTACACCAGCCTCTGAATTCCTTTTTATGGCAGAATAACAGATGCATTCTTATGCAGAACAAAAGTATTTTACCATAAAAGGCTTAAATTTCAATATCCTTTGACACTCTCAAGAAACTATCTCATTTTTTTTTCCAGACTCAAGGATAAACCCTTTTAAAGTTCATGACATTATGAAATTTAAGAGGCACATTATGAACGCATCCTGTTTTTAAAATACTTTGTACAAATTTAGATTAGACTCTCAAGAATTGACAGGTGCCATATTCACATCTTTAACTGAGGCAAAAGGATAAATTGCAGCTAGATCAGAGACATCTTATCAATACCTTAATTAGGGAAACCTTTTCCGCACTTTTGGGTAAATGTTTTACTCGAGTTTTTTTTTTTCTAACACGTCGTAAAACTGTATCTTAATACACTTTCATTGGCCGAGTCAAAACAGTGCTCTATTCCAAAAGATGAGAGTAAGTAACAAGATTAAGTAGCAAGAAAATGAAATCTACCTGAAAACCTTTTACTTTCTCATATCAAGCAATAATTTTACAAGCGTTTTCAAATGAAAGTCGCCCCTAACAAAATAACTATTTTCAAAAAATCCCCTACGTTGGATATTTCTCCGTCGTCATTATTACTTGGCATAAGTCCTCATAACATCCTACCAATATACACCATTATCTAGCTAATTAAATTGAAGCTCACCTTTTCAGCCTCAAATCTATTAATTTTTCCCCAGTACCACGGGCAATTCGTGATAGATGCGATATCGTTTATAAGGAAATACTCCAATTTATGCTGGGCTGCTTTCATTCGAGCCTTTTCCTTTCGCCTTCGTTCAAATTCTTCAAGGCTAATAGCATTGGATTGATTGCAGTCTTGATTTGCCTCACGAGGAAGTGAAGGGGATCGGAGGGTTTGAACTGATGCATTATAGCCATCTCCCACAACTTCTGTATTTGAATCTTCCCTTCGAAACCCCCACGAAAGCGAGAATCTTCTTCTCCTCGCACCTTGAAACCCGCCATCGCCATCTTTCCCAGCTGATCGTGAACCCAGTAAACTAAGTGGTCTCCGGCGTCGCACTTGAGGATTTGTTCTCCGTTGCAAAGCTTCCAACTCAGCTTTCTCTCTCACCCGTTTCGCTTCTTGCAGACAACGAGCGTGATAGCTTAGACCATTTTCATCACGGTCACTTTTACGATTCTTATCAGCGGAAGTTTTTGCAGATTCTTTAGCACCTCTACGTCGAGAAACTTTTTTCGCTAACCATCGTAAGCTACGAGAATTCGAAGGCAGCTCTGGGTCAAGATCGATCAAATTTGAACAACTTTTCTCACTGGATGAATTGCAGCTGGAATGTTCCTCTTGAAAATCTGAAGCACAACTGCAAGCAACGGACGAAGTACTTTTGACGTCCTCAGGGACAAAATCTTCTGAGTCGCTTAGAACAACTCTCAACAAGTCGCGATCCAAATCGTCGCTGTCTTTCGCTTCTCTATCGTTACGTTCTCGATGACTTCGACGGCGAGAGGACCACGGCCAACCTCCTCCTTCGGCCATAGTTCGCTTCTAACCTAACAGTTCCTTGTCCATGAGCAGATGCTGCTATTTCCCGTTTTATTTTTAGCCAAGAAGGACAGCTTCAGGCGCTTACGTCCGTTCACGAACAACTGGATGGTTATTTGTTTGCCATCGGATTTTTAGTTCCCAGGCTTTCCGCTAGGACCTCAATCTGAAAAACCGAAAGATTCCGAGTATCTTCAATAATTTGCCGAACATTTGCGAAGAATGGAAGGGGGCATCGCAGGGGAAGTCTCTCTTTCTTTCAATTTCTTCTCTGACAAAAATAATTGTTCGAGAAGAAAATTATAGACACAAGTCTGCAATCTTGGAAGCGAACCACCCACATGAGACAGCACCAGCAGTTATTCTTAATTTTAGAGGCGTTTAGGAAAGGAGGCGTTTCTCATGTTTTTAACTTAGTTGTAAGACTAAAATACGAAGATTAGTCCTAAGCTTGTTAACAATTCATTTAATTCCTTAGGCGTTTAAACTGTGACTGAAATTAAATAAGATCAAGATGACAAGATGTTCATTTTATATGTCATAACTTATGATTTGATCTCAGGTAATAATCAGCTTAAAACCTTTTCCACGTCAGTTTAACCATAAAAGGACTTTCAATTTCCCGTGTTTACGTAGCCTCATATTAACACTCAGGATGTTTGAAGAATCTGGGCGTAGTCAAGAGTCTGCATAACTTTGGATTATTTCTCTAATCATCAAATGATAAATTGAGGCTAGGGAATCTCGGAAAAGTCATACTGTTTTCATGAAATATTTCTCAAATATACGCGCGAATGCAAACCGCCAGAGCCGCACATCTACTGAACCGTTTAACTCCCAAAGGTGACAAAAATGTAACTTCTCCCTAGGTTAAAATATCTTGATCTGATACCAGATTCTCGTCAGTAATTTATAATTACAAGGCAAAAAGTGGTAGCTGAAGGGGAGAATTAACTATTAGATCTTGGAAGTTTAAGGGTTACCGAATAGATTCCACGTTGCCGTGTGTCTGTTCAATAATAGATCACAGATGACGTCAAAATGTGGTAAGAACAAAAGCGAAGTTCACGAGGCACAGCCACATGTGTCATCGATGTTCTACCCACCTATTGCCGTCTTCTGTGATCTCTCACTGAACTGAGCCACGGAAACATGGAATCTATTTGATTTAAATAATGAAGAATAAAATTTGTGAAAGGTGAGCGTCTATTCTTCATCAATCCAAATGCGTGTGTAATTCAGCATGAATAAAGGGGTAAGTTTCTAAAGAAACTGTGGTGCTGCGTCAGTGGGAGAGTATAGCAGGTAATTTAGTGTCAACAACTGGGTTGAAAACGTAAATTAGCCACCGTAAAGGGTAAAAAAGCTGACGTTTCGAGCGTTAGCCCTTCGTCAGAGCGATTGAGGAAGGGCTAACGCTCGAAACGTCAGCTTTTTTACCCTTTACGGTGGCTAATTTACGTTTTCAACCCAGTTGTTAACACTAAATTACCTTCTGTAATTCAGCATAACATATGGTGTCTAAGGCAAGCGCACGTGATCTCTCATTTAATAATTTCGTATGTCTCATCGAAACAGTGAAGTCACTCGCGCGAAGTTCGATATTTTAATCATTTTAAGAGGGCTTTTTTCTTCATTCTACCACACTGCTGAAGAATTGACATGTTAGGTAACTGCTTTATTTACGGACAGTCCACAGAGTAGCAATATACAGATGTACGGTCAATAGTCTGCAAGAATTGAAGAGTACATTAGCACTACTGAGTCATAATATTCAGCCGCCATTAAAAATATTCTCTCCTTGGGTTTCTAACTTTCCTTCCATCGCTAAAGACTCCCAGTATCGTTGTGAAACATGAACGGTTGAATTTTTCCTCTACATCTCTTTCGTTTATGTCACCCACACAAAAGCCATTTTTTTATTCATTCAAATCTTAATCTCTGGTCCGTAGGCGGAGTGCTAGTCTTACACCCAGATCTCCCGTGACCAATCACACAAGAAAAATCTGGGTACTAAATGAGGTCTACGCTTCATATATGGCAAGAATTCTGTGCTGATTTTTTGCTTCCTTGATTTACTTCATAGTGGGGAACGCTGTAGGTGCTTTGAGGGCTTCTGCATCTTCGTCTCTCCAGAGACTTGTGATGGTCTTTACTTCCAGGTAGAAGTTGATGCCCTGAACACAAAGTCAAAAGAAAAGTCGATGTTTAGTAGGCCAGTAAAACAAAGCTCTTACATAGTAAATGGGACCCAGTAGAAGTGAAAAGTGAAAATATGGGCGGCTGGCTCCCAATTCCGCTCCGGCTAGTATCATTCGCCAAACGTAAGGCTCTTTCATAAAGAGCTGAAATCACAATCCGAATAAGCCAAGCACACAGAAGATGAGAGGAATCCTACTCCTCACTTTCAATGACAATTTTGTTTTGAGCAAAGTAGCGAAATGAAAGGATTTTGTCTTGTACAGGATCAACAGTTACCCCCACACACACGTTTGAGACATCTGTACCAACCTGTTTTCCGTAGAAGTGCGCATCTCCTAAGAAAGAACCACGTGATCCAGTGAAAGAGAACATGGGAAGGGGGACTGGGATGGGAACGTTGACACCGATCTGCGATGAAAGAAAAAGATCAAATAATCTTACCAACTGACATGTTTAATCCAACCCAAAACTATCAGGCGATCCAACTTACTGAAATGATGAGAGTGAAAAGTGATCCAGGATGGCTTTGGTTTTGCTTTACTTCGATATGTGATTGGTTCAGAAAACAGCTCGCGCCACCTTCTCAACCAATGAGATCACAAACCGTGACTTGGTCACCCGCGTTTTCCCGCGCTTCAAGCAGTTTCCTTGTTTTTACTTAAAGTAAGATTTCCTTCTTTGGGTTTTTCCTTTGTTCTGATTTTTGTAACACAGTAGAAATACACTTTAACGCTTTTTGTTACTCACTTGTCCAACATCCACTTTGTGCTGGTATTTTCGTGCTATTGATCCAGAGTTTGTGAAGATAGCAGTTCCATTACCGTACGGGTTACTGTTCACAATGTCAATAGCCTTAAATGAAACGAACAAACCTCTGTTCAACCCACAAAATTAATTCTTTAACCCTTGAGAGTCAAAAAGGAATTTCTCCTTATAATGTTAATGCATTTTCACGCAGAAAAGTAATGAGAAGAAAGAAAATAATCAACTAAGAAATGTTTCTTGATTTTACATCAAGTTCTTCATTACGAGAAATGTAAAGACAGACAGTACGAATAATCCAGAATCAGATTTTGGTAATTAAAGGTACCCAGACCCTCTGATCTGTAGCGCGCCAACTGCTGTGCTACCGCGTCCCCTGCTGTGCTACCGCGTCCCCTGGTGATATTTAAAATTTAAAGTAATGAAAATTGAACATTACATCATCCAGAGTGTCCACATTCATAGTGATAAGAACAGGTCCAAAGATCTCCTCCTTGTAACACGTCATTTCCGGCTGGAGTAACGAAAGAATCAAAAGGCAATCGTGAGCAGTAAAGGATGTTTCGCACCACCCTCGTTCCCAGGCTCTTTCTTCTTTTCACTTCCTTGAATAAGGGGGAGGGGAGAGGGGGAAGAAGAGAGATCGTGGGAACTAGATTGGTATTAAGAATAATACCGTTACGCTTGCGAAAGATGAGACTAGAATGTAGGGTTGAAAAATACGGAAGCGCGGGAAAAAGATGCAAAACAGAACCACGTACTGAGGAGTATGCCTCTGATGAAAAACTTAGGAAATTTTCGAACACGTGCAAAGTGCTTCCAAAATGTCACACCAAAGAGCGTGCTTACTCTGATTGGCTCAAACACGATAAGCCACCCATTTTCCCCTTTTTTCCCTTCTCTTTCTTTTTTTTAGAGAAGTTACAGGCTAAATAAGCGTAAAACTACAGAAAATAAAGTGTTACTCACTGTGACATTGGACACGATGGTTGGAGCAATAAAATTTCCTTTTTCGAAACCTTTCACTACAACGTCACGGCCATCAAGTTCAACCTGTCAAAAGATTAAATTGTCAGTTTAATTTGAATGAATCCTAATTAAAGAGAGAATTCCTCTGAATTCCATTCTATAAATTCTATGTGGTAAATTTAACCCAGTAACTCGCAGATCAAATTTATAATTCTCCTTACTGTCAACCATACAATTCTTATAATGTTAGTTCAGAGAATTTAGTATTGAATCAACTAATTATTCCCAAATTGATATTTTTCTTTATTATCATCACTTATCTGGTTGATATTGTACTGATATTGTAAGAAGAAATTCTGTTTTGGTCACTCATGGGAGTTAAAGGGTTATCAAATAAATTCCATGTAGCTGTGCGTCTGTTCAGTAATAGATCAAAGATGACGTCAAATTGTGGTAAGGACAAAAAGTGGTGTACAAGGCACAGTTGAGTGTGTCACTCATGTTCCGCGAAGGGGAAACCCAACTTCCTGCAGAAAATACATGATCGGCTGGTACTCTCCAGCGCAAAATCCAACATTTCTTTATTCTGGCGAGAAGGCATGTCTCCGCTAGAGAGAAATTCCTACCTTTGCTCCTTCCTCAATACCAGATTGCACCAGATTACAGATTCGTTCTTTCGATGCTGGTGAAATGACAGGTCCGAGATCTGTACCTGGCTGATGACCTAACGAGATGAAAGAGAAAAAACATGACGTTGAGGTGCAACATAGAGAGATGTACGGTAACGCAAGAACGCGTAACGCACCAAAACGTCACGTAACGGTAACGTAAAGTTTAGTGCGACACAGAGTAACATCACGTAACACATAACATACATTACGTCAACTGAAGATGCTACAGAAATACAAACGAGGTAACATCACGATATAAAAAAAACGCAGGACGCACAGCATAAAATGCAACGAAAGAACCCTTAAGATTAACAATAGAAATGTGCCTTGTACAAGGCCGAAAGGTACATATTTCGAAATATTTGTAAAACAAGGTTCTTTTTGGACATATTACCTTCGTTCACCTGAAGTTGCTTGGCTTTGGCTACAAGATCAGGAATCCATTCTTTACTTTCTCCAACAAAAATCGCAGTTGTTAGAGCCATGCACCTCTGACCTGCGGCGCCAAATGCTGCTCCAACCAGCTAAAACATCATTTAAATATAGTATTGGTTATACCTCACTAAAACATTTTCATTTGTAGTTCTGTCGCAAGATGATTTTAATGGAAAGCCGAATTGGAACAGTTTTCAACTAATCGTCGTTAGTGATCTGGAATTTCTCTGTTTTTCTATTTCGTTGCTCTGTGATTGGTCGATAATTCGCACGCCATCTTTTTTTAACCAATCAGAGGCAAAGCTAGCACGAGTCGCAATTTAACCGCTCGCGTTTTCCCGCGCTTCGGGTAGTTTGCTTATTTCCACCATGAGTTCTCATCGGCTCACTGTGTTATCTCCCCTGTTCTGATTGGCCGTTGCAATTACTTTAGTTTTGGTTTTACAAATCAGTCGAAAAGCGCTCTTAAAAAACGCCACAAACCTGGTTGATTGTGTTCTCCTTATTAGCATCAGGCATGATCACACCATGGTTCTTTGCTCCCTTAAAAAAAAAACCACACGATAAACAGTCATTTCGGGAGGAGGGGGGGGGGTCAGGGCATGATTTCAGTGCAAACGTATTCTGTTTATGAGATTCTTTCTTTGGAGAAGGGAGGGGGAGCTTTGAATTTCCTTCATCCTTCCTGGCTCTGTCTTGCCAGGCACTGTTTACGATTTATCAGCATGACATGTTCACAAAGTATACCTCCACCCAACAGCAATGAAAACTTCAATTACTGTATTCTATGTAAACAGAAACAAAGTTACACTGAAATGCTTTGGGATAAGTTTTTTAACACAACGAGGCAAATAGCTGGATGGTGGAAAACAGTGCTTTTGTCCGTGAAAGAGTCGATAGGGAATCTTTTTTTTTCCATCAGAGGGCAAGAAAAAATAAAACACATTTGACACTTGAGAGTGACAAAATTGTAGCATCTAATTTCTCCTTATATAAAGGTCATGATAATAAAGGACAAAATAAGCAACTAAAGAAATTCCTTATGAAATGTATAGAGAACAGTATGAAGAACATGCATACTGATATTAACTAGGGTGAAAAGGTTTTATACATCAGCATTCTTTAATTTTACCATATTTGATTGTACTCTCTTTCCATGCTTGGAACCAGTCTCATAGATGTATTTACCCTGACAAGAAATGAAAATTCAGTGAGAGACAAGGTTACATCTTTAACCCTTTAACTCCCATAAGTGACCAAGACAGAATTTCTCCTTACAATATCCATACAAAATCAAGAAGACAAGAGATGAGAACCAAGAAAAGTATCAATTGGGGAATTATTAGTTGATTCAACACCAAATTCTCAGAAGTAATATGAGAAGAAATGTATAGCAGACAGTAAGGAGAATTACTAATGAGATCTTGGGAGTTAAAGAGTTAGGAGAGAACTTAAGAGTTGATTATTTAAATGTACTTACAGCTGTGTCAGATCCAACAAAGGAAATTGCTCGAATGTCTGGGTGCTCACAGATGAACCTCACAGCTACAGAAAAACCAAACAGTGAAATGTCAAATGATTAAATTAGCATGGTTTTCCAGCTAGAAATCTTCCTTTTCATCAGTACTGCTTGGGTGTGTTCTAAACACCTATTGCTTATCTTCAAGCTATCAAATCTCAGAAGTACTTGACATGTAATTTCTCTATACAATATCAATACAGTATCTACCTTGGAAGCGATGAGAAAGACAAAATTACCAGCTAGAGGGAGTCATTGATGTAAAACCAATTTCCTTTAACCCTTTAACTCCCAAGATCTGATTGTTAATTCTCCCCTCTAGCTGCTACAAATTTCCTTGTAAGATGGTTACAAGAATTTGGTTTTAGATCAAGGCAACAACTTCTACCTGATAAGTTTGAGTTTTCTCATTACCAGTTTGCTGGATAATGTAAGGATATTATAGGGAGAAATAACATGTTAATCACTTCTGAGAGTTAAAGGGTTAATAAATTTACAAGGAAATGTACAATGGCTACTCTTGGAAACAAGCAAAAAAAAGAACATGCAGCACTGTATTAATTAACAAAGGAAATGTCATTACGATCAACAGTCCCATGTATGACATTAACACAGCCTTCAGGAACACCAGCCTCTTGTGCCAACTTCATTATGAACATAGTTGAGCCAGGGTTCCTCTCTGATGGTTTGAGAATCATAGTGTTGCCACAAACCAGTGCCATAGGGAACATCTACAAACAAATTATTGGAAAACATCATCATAACTTGACAGTCCTTGTTCTTGTGGGTCCATATAAAAATAGGGCTCTAAGCTGCAAACTTTTCTGTGGTTCTTAACGTTATCGTTAAACTACTTTTTAAAGAAAGTTCAGACATTCATCAACAGCTGCCTAGAAGAATTCTATGGGTCTGCTGGCCAGACATCATCAGCAGTACAGACCTCTGGAGAGAGGCTAACCAAATACCAACAGAATATGAAATCAGAAGGTGAAGATGGACATGGATATGGTACACTCTTCCCAAACCAACATCAAGTGTCACAAGACAGGCCCTTTACTGGAATCCCCAGGGTTAGAGAAAGGGAGGACAACCAAGGAACACCTGGTGTCATGACCTTAAGGTTGACATCAAAGAGACCTGCCACTCATGGAGCCAATTAGAAAGGATGACCCAGAACAGAGGTCTCTAGTGGACTGTCATTCGCAGCCTATGCCCCAGGAGGAGTGATGGGCATAGATAGATAGATAGATGGACTTTTTTCAAGGGTATAAAAAATGAAAACTACTCTCAAAAACAAGAATTTAACTTACCCATAATGGCACCATAGCTGGAAAGTTAAACCTGAAAAAAAAAAAAAAAAAAAAAAAAAAAAGAGAGAGAGAACAGGCTTTGACTAGCTCTTTGATTAACCATCATGTAGTGTTTAAAACAAAATGAAGGAAAAGTAAAGATAAATTGGATTTTAGCAGTAACACTGCCACTAGCTTGTTGTCTGTTCTCTGTTTCCTGGTTGAGGCTGCAATTTAGACAACTGGTTTTAGTTGAGGAAGGAAGACTGGAGACCTTGTCATGAAATAAATAACAGAAACCAAAACATAAAAAGGGGTAATGACTTGTAATCAGGCAGGCTGTGGCCTGAGTGTGTTTATTTCTATCAAAAGGAAGAAAGACTGGAAAGTAGTGGATGGAAAGAAATCACAATAAACTGCCACATACACACTATTCATTAATAATAATAACAATGACAATAATAAAGTTTCCACATACGGTGTGATTCCTGCACAGACTCCCAGCGGAACACGATAAGAATATGTATCCATATCCTTGGTGATCTGGGACACAGTTTCTCCCATCTGCAAAGTGGTAACTGAGCATGCATGTTCAACAACCTCTGAATGAAATGAAAAAAAAAAGAAAAAAAATTATAACCAATTGATGTATCTGACTTCATTGCACTTTGTTATGCATTAGGCTGCCACATCATCCTCTCCATCTTTTCTTACCTTATGCACTAACTTCACCTCCTCTCACACGTTTTTTTTTTTACAGACCATCCACAGCCACGTGATCTACAGCCTTCTTTTAAGAGCTGTGAAGCAGTGGTGCCCCCTTGTCAAAAAGGACACATGCCATTTCCACCTCCTCTTTCACTTATTGACCCCAACACTCTCATGAGCTGAACACAATGATTGAAGACCCATTTCAAGTTTAAGGGAGAAAAGCTATAGGAGACGACAAAACAATCACAAACTCACGTAATCCTCTTTGCACGCTGCCTAAAGCATCTGCCGTAGTTTTCCCAGTGTCCATGGTGATGATGTCAGCAATCTCTCCCTGTCAAAAAAAAAAATACAAGTTGTCTATCTATAATAACCATTTAAAGATATTATTGAGTTACATCAATCCCTCCAACATATTCCAACATTGGTGGTATTATTTCATGCTTAATCCTTTGGCCACTAAGAGTGACTAGCATCTAATTTCTCCTCACAGTATCGCCAATGAAACAATCATTACAGTTTGAGAAGAAAGAAAATGATCACCAAATAAAAAAAGCTCCTTATTATATTATTAACAGAACTTCATTGTCTGCATCATCGGGAGGATATAGAGATTACAATAATGAGAATATTCATACTGGCAAAGAGAACCAAAGCCTACAGAAGTTATCCCCATAAGTGACCAAGACAGAATTTCTCCTTACAATATCAATACAATATCTACCAGGTAAGTGATGAGAATAAAGAAAAATATTAATTTAGGGATAATTAGTTGATCCAATACTAAATTCTCTGAACTAACATGATAAGAATTGTATGGTTGACAGTAAGGAGAATTACAAATTTGATCTGAGAGTTTAAGGGTTGAAGTATATCTACTTTGAATTCACTGGATGGTAATAAATAAAATGAAGTTTAGCAGAGGACATTCCACTAAATGGCTCTTCTTGTCCACTGCTACCAGGTAAAATTGGAATGTAGAATGTTGGTTTTTGTAGAGGGACAAAAACTGGATGAGCTGGAGAAAAATGCTTGGAGTAAGGACAAGGACCAACAACCAACTCAACCACAAGTCCATTTCAGGAAGCCCCTTGAGCATTTTGTTGGGCTTCCTTGATAGGTCACTACTACCAAATTATACTCCTGGGTGGAGACAAGCACCATGAGGGTAAAGTGCCTTGCCCAAGAACACGACACAATGACTAGGCCAAAACCTAAACTCAGATCCCCTAGTCTCCTATGGCACAAAGAGAGTATGTCTACATTGAATTCACCAGTACAAAAATTATACCCCTTGGCAGAGACAGGCACTATGAGAGTTAATATTTAAGTGTCTTACCCAAGAACACAACACAATGACCCTGCCAAGACCTGAACTCTGACTTCTAGTGCCAGGTTAAGCACACTTAACTATGCTGCCACATTTCCTTATCAGTATTGTTTCCTACCATGTGCTTTTTCACCAGATGCTGAAGGTTGAACATGACCTGTTGGCGTGACAGGATAGACTGCTCTGCCCAGGCTGGGAAAGCTTCCCTTGCCGCAGCCACAGCAGACTCCATTTCATCTATTGTTGTCTCTGGAGCTCGGGAGATCACATCATTTGTAGCCTTGGGAAAAACAAAAACATTCTCAAGACTAAAAGTTAAGAGAGCTATGTCATGAAATTTTCTGTGACATGCAAAATTTGTTGTTAAAGTTATAGAGAAAAGGCTTTATTAAGACTTTATCATTGTCATCTTTATTTTTGCCATTTTTTAAAGCCAGACAAACAACAACATTAATAAAGGGGGTACAATTCTGAAAAAAAATTTGGTACTGCATTGGTAAGAGAGTGTAACAGGGTAATTTAGTATTATCAACTGAGTTGATGATGTAAATTGGCCACCACAAAGATTTACAAAGCTAATGATTCAAGTGTTAGCCCTTCCTTTGTTTAATTTTTTCCAATGTTTCATTCCTGAGGTATTTTTAGTCTACACAAATATATGTGACACAAAGAAGACTTGAAAGATAGTAAGTCAAACATAGATCTTTTCTAAAAACCTTAGCCTTCAAGACCTTTGAAAAAACTTATGGGTTTCATGCAACCAAGGTAAACTTGTTATGATCCTTGAAAAATAATAAGCATTCTGGGTCCAAAGACTCCTTTCTCTTTCAAAAGGATAAAAGTATTGCTCTAAATATAAGGGAATGATTAATAAGTTTTCCCAAAGTCTGTGAATAAGCACTTACTGGATTGTGAATGTCAATCCATCTGTCAGTCTTTGACTCCACAAACTCACCATTGATAAAAAGCTTTGTGTTTGACTGTGAAAAAAGCATACAAAACCTTCAATTCCTGATTCAGTAACTACAAGAAAGTATAATCTGGAATTACAGCATTTGACAAACAACTCTTCACTTGACTCTGATGATGACTGTTGCTCAGGTTTTTGAAATGTCAGTCACCACTTTTGACAACAGTGCTTCTCAGGATTACACTCACTCAGATGATAAGTCTACACTATCACATGTTACCCCCGCATCAAACCATTTACTGTATACAATATAATCACTTGCCCATAAGGCCCAAGTGGTTCAAAGGCCACACAAAACTTTTAACCCTTAAACTCCTCAGAGTGACTAACATCTAATTTCTCCTCAAACCATCACCCCTTAATCAAACATTAAGGTCATGAGAAGGTAAAGTAAATAACCAATTAGATCATATAACACAGTGGTTTTAGTAAAAGCCAGTTAACAGTGGCCTAGCACTGCCTGTGCAACCTTCTACTGCTGTCTGGTAACCATTTACACCCTAACATCAATATGCACATTCTCCATACTGGTATCTATACATTTCTTCAGGTGCTGACAAGGAGAATTTGTTTAACAATCAAGAGCTTCTTAAGTTGGTGATCATTTGCTTTATTTTCATGACCTTAATGTGTGATCTAGGGGTGATATTATGAGGAGAAATTACATTCTTGTCACTCTTAGGAGTTAAATGGTTTAGCCTGTGAACAGGTTCCCATGTTTGGACTTTGCATTTAAGGCACAGCTGTCAATTACTCCATCAGGAGCTGCATATGGAAAAAGTTATTGAACCATTGTATCATCCACTTTTTTAAGAAACTGTTCACAAAGACAAATGAAGGAAATACCGACAAGGAGCTGCTATATAATTAAATAAAATGGTCTCAAAACATTGATGCAAAAGATCTGAGTACTTACACCATCTCCATAAAACCTCTTGCATGCTGCTGCCAAAGGAGCTGTCTGTGAAATCAAAAGAAGAATTTTAAAAAGAAATTAAGCATATTGCAATAAATTCACCTAGTGCTGGTAGGAAGGCAAGCTTAAAATTCATTTGGAATTCTTAGGTACAAGACACCAACTTAGGTAGTTATAAGAATATCTCTGGCAATTCTTGATAGTCCTCACACAATTTTGTTTTTAATTTCTAGTGGATGACATAACAACTTTGGAATTTGTAGAGTGACCATCTCTTTCAGCCATGTACCAGAGGTAGTAACAGCCATGCTAACCAACCCCCCTTTCCTCTCCTCCTTACTTGCCCCTGTCACTCAATACAATATCAAGCTGACCAGATATGAGAATAAAGGGGTATATTGTTGGTATAAACCACACAAGTATGTGTACTATGTCAGATGTGAAAAGCAAGTACTATTCACCTTGGAGCAGCCAATGAGACAAAATCGCATGTCAATAGTTTAATTTCCAACCATTTTTAGGTATATAGGGGGAAATAAACCAGTGTGGTATATGCTAAAGCAATTATTCACTTTAGTGTCAGTGGAAGTGGTGGATATTTACTTAATGGCTCAGTAAATATCTACATCCACCTTGGTGAATAATTGTTAATTATTACAACATAGGGGGTTATTATTTGATCAAACATCAAATTATTCCAACTATCATCATAAGAGATAGATGACAGACAGTAAAGAGAATTACTAATGAGATCTTACATCACAAAAAGGTTAAAAAAAGAATCCAGAAACCATCTTTACTGTGGTTGTAGGAAGAAAGTTTGTGAATTTGTCCCAGGAAAAACATTTTTATTTCCCAGTACTACCGTAACATCATAGTTTCATTTTCAAACATATGCCACCAGATCCAAGATAAAACTATGTCTAAACGTTTACCCAACGAGCAATGGTCTGTAAACGTCATTGGTGGTGTCCCAGAGGGGCAAATCACCAGAGATCATCATCTCTTCTCGATATGTGTGAACTAGTAGTAAATTCTTCATAACCAGTGCTAGAGCGAAAAAATATGCGCTCTTGGGGTTAAGTGATTCCCTCCATAACAAACCATATTTAATTTAGCTCTGATAGGTTTCGCACCACTAGAGACATTTCGTAATTTACAATAGTATCAATTTATTACACTAGCCAATGCCATCAAAATATCTCTTAAGACGGTACTCTAGAGAAGAAGCAGTTAATCCTTACCTTTTCACCTCTACAAAGTAAGCGCGAGAAAGACGACGCGGATCGAAGCATTTTCGACGACAGTACTTGTGAAATGTCGTCTCGGGTTAGATGGAGCGTTCAGGCGGTCTTGGAAGGAGGGTCTGGGGGCAGCAACTAAAAAACACGTGTTGGCTCCCAGAGGACCCTTCACCATATTTAGAAAATATTGCGAAAGGTGTAAGTACTGGGGATGACTGTGTCTCCTCAGGGCGGAGAAGTTGAATTTTCTTTCGTCTTTGTCAGTTGTTTGGCTAGTGTTTTTGTCTGTTTATTTGATTTACCTGCATCATTTTGCAGTTTAATTGTAAGCAATAGTAAAATGGAATCACCGAGTCCAGGTTTGTGGCGTTTTTATGTTCATTTTTGCCGATTAAGACTAGTTTTTATGTAACTCGCCTACAAGGGGCAATCGCATTCTCTCTCTCTTGCAGAGCTTGACCAAAGTCTACAAGGTCTGCTAAGTTTTGAACGTTTGGACAGAGCTTCACCGGATTTGTGGCCCGAACAGAGTAAGTTTAAATTCTAGGACTAATGTAGCTTATCACTTGACATACTCTTAAATATTTGGTGTGAGTATGATAAATTTGTTTTGGTTCAAATTTTTCATTGGTGTAGGAAAAGCTTTAAAGCAGTTTTATTTTTTCTTTTCCTTGATATGAGATCATGGTAACTTAATTTAAAACAAACAAATGAAAAATTCGAGCTGGTTAAACATTTTAACATAAAAAATCAAAATTTAACATATAGAATCAGCCAGGAGCATTTATGGTGCTTTCATAATAGAAATATTTTATAGGATTTGTCCATTTGTATTTTCATTATTTTAACCTTAACCCTTTAACTCCAAAGATCTGATCATCACTTCTCCCCTCTAGCTACTACACATTTCTTTGTAAAATTTATTAGGAGAATTTGGTGTTCAATCAAGGTAATAAGTTGTACCTGATAAGTTTGAGTATTCTCACTACCTGTTTGTTATATCATGGATGGATGCTATAGGGAGAAGTTACTTGGCAATCACCTTTAGAAGTTAAAGGGTTAACAAATATGCATGTATGTATGTATGTTATTGGTTTATCCTATAACTCCCTTGATTGACTAAGATAAAATTTCTCCTTATAATTTCAATACTATATCAAGCAAACAAGTGGTAAGAATAACAAAAAATATCAACTAGGGGATTCTTAGTAGATTCAAAACCAAATTCTCATAACTAACATCACAAGAATGTTATAGCAGACTGTAGGAAGAATTACTAATGAGAATTTGGGAGTGATAGGGTTGATTAAATATATCCTGACTTTCCCATGGAAAAGACTGCTTAAAAATAATTGACATCTTTACCTGATATTGTTCTCCTGGGGAATTTCTAAGTGTTCTCTAAGGTAATAGTGTGTATAAGGGGTAAGAGAATTCTGGTATCCATAGAAACTGAGAATAATATTTTTGTCTCATTAGTCTTCTTTTTCAAACTAAAAAACTTAAAGTTTTGTATTCTCTATCAACAGTTCCTGGTGTATCTGACTTTGCTTCTCTTACTGTTAGTGTAAGTAATACTTTGTTTTTACTATTGAAAATATGTTAATCCTTTAATCCCTCAGAGTGACTTGTCAGATCTAATTTCTCCTTACAACATCATCCTTAATCAAACTTTGAGGACACGATAATAAAGAAATGATCAACAACATATAAAGAAGAAGCTCTTGATTGTCGAATAAATCCTCCTTGTTAGCATTACAGGAAATGTTTATGCAGTAGTCAAGAGATTACACATACTGATGTTTAAGGATGTGAAGGGTGAATCTATGTTTATAGCAGGATATCACCCTACTACTGATCTTGATCCACAGAAAGAATTCCAGGAAACTAGATTTGAACCTTTTTGATACAAAAGCTGAAAACTGAACATACATATGAATATATTGTATAATTCACTGTAATACCCAAAGGTGACATCTTTGCACAAGAGTGTGAATTTACTTTAAAAAGTGATTTTTTTGTATAAATCATTTTATGCTAGCAAGTAGACACCAGACTTGGTGTTATGCTGGCCAGTTATCACTAAATAACAAGTGTTTTTCAATGCTTGTGACCATTCAATGCAGTATTTAATCCTTTTTAATGGGTGTGTAGCCGTTTTCATTATCAAGTACTCCACCAAAGTGGTTGGCTGAACTGGAGAAGGATGACATGGACATGCTACAAGGTAAAGTTATCTCTGACAGTCAGTCTAAAGATCTGATTCATACCCTTCCTCCACCAACCATACATTTTCAAACTTATAGATTCAAAGCTGTCAGTAAAAGACAGTATTCAGCCAGAGCCACCAGCTAGTCTGCCATCTTTAACTGGCAACTTTCACTTTACTTTACCTTAACTGGTGATGAAAAATTAATATATATTAATTATGGAAATAAATTTGTACAGCAGCCATTTCCAGTTTTGAGTGAAATTAAATGTTTGATTTACTTGTAGCAGGTTTATACATATGAATTGATTTTGTGTTCATATCTTTTTGTTTTATATCATAGAATTTGGAAGTCTCACTACCTCTCAACTGATGGAGAAAGTGCGGGGACTCCAAAACCTAGCTTTTCAGCTTGGTCTGGATGAAGGTGAGGGCTTTCATTGGATTATTTTGATAATTCTGATTTACTTCTTCCAATAATTAATCAATTATTTTTTTAACTGCTTTGTAGAAGCCAGGCTCCATGAAATAAAGTGTCCATGAAATATGTGAACTTTTGTCTTGGAAATTGTGTCTGATGCATAGAAAAACATTTCAAAGTTTTTCTTTGTAGGACAAGCATTGAATTTTTAATTTTTATCAAGAAAATAATTTTTGATGTCAAACATTATTTGAGGTTCTGTTATAATGACTCTTTATAAAATTCAGGTAGAATGGCCTTTTTATTTGTTTCTTTCAGCCAGAGAAATGACAAGAGGAAAGTTTTTGAACATTCTGGAAAAAGTCAACTCAGGGAGAAGATAGGCATACATAGCTGGCTTAACAATCTTTTTTCTTTTTTTAAAAATTAGGCTGAATGACTTCTGCCTAGACAGATGTAGACAATAGAATTAAAGTCAATGAAATGTCTTATCATTATCATCTTTGTCATGAACCACTCTGTAATGTAAGAGCAGCTCTTAAGGTTAAATTATTATTGGTGACAACATGATTTCTCATGCAATTTGGTGTTAATAAGCACAAGTAAATTTTTCAAAGGCAACAAAATTACACATGCTGGGAGGGGTGAGTGCAATTTATAGTCTCTGAAAAAATTTACAAGAGCTTATTTACGCCAAATTGCACAAGAATTCATGTTGTTACTTGTCAATAATTTACACAAAATTCATGATGGAAAAAAATTGGCAGCATGCTGTCGCTATTTGTAATTTTCAGTTGTGTTACAACTTTGCACTCTTGTTACAACTTTGCACCAGTATTACATAAAAATGCTCTCGTTTTTAGCCAGTCAGACGCATTAAATTTTTTCATGTATGATAATAAGAGAATCAAAACTTTTATGATGATGGATGTTTTTGCTAGAAATCTTCAACAGGAAAATAATACAGACATCTCTATCCATAATGTTTTTACTATTCCAGTGGAAAGTTTTGTGAAAATGATAACTATTAAGTATTTGGCTTTTCTAGTGTTTACAGTGACATTCTCACTGACTGTGTAATTTGCATTTGCTGCTCCTCTGTAATTTTTTTTGGAATATTTAAGCAAAAGACTGGGCATTGAGGTCTGTTGCCCCTTACAAAATATTAGACTACATCTTCCTGTTCTAAAATTAACTAGTTAAATCACCATAGCATAAGTTAGATGTATACTATCATGACATGAGTACCTTGGAAAGATGTTTGTCAGAAAAAAAGCAAGAGCTGTTAGCTTTGCTGCATAATCTTGACCAACAAAATATTATATCTTTGAGTTGCCAATCATATACTGTATTTCCTCAAAAAGCATCTCACTCTAACTGAGCGCTTTCCCCTAAATAAATGCCAACCCCCTTTTTTTCTCAAAAAGCGCCTCACTCAAACTGAGCACTTTCCCCTGAATAAATCCCAACCCCCTTGGCCAATATATGAAACAAGTGCCCCCTTCCTCTTTTACTTTCTTAAATAGTAGGAAGACAAGGAAAACCTGCCTCTACTGCCACTTTATTTATAACTTTTTCAGTTTTAACTACAGTGGATTCAATACAGCTTAATAGTTTCTTGATAAGGGCTCCCCACGATTAAGCACCTATCTTCTGATAAGCGTCTCTCTTTTGAGCGAAATAGTTGAATAGGTGCCCGGGTGCTTAATTTGCAAGGAAATAAATTATCCAAGTGGTTTGACATAGTCATGAGTTGTATTGTAAATATTTGCTGTTGCTTAGAAAGAATAAAATCAATAAGCTTTCTTCAACTGACTGTTCAATCCTCTGTTTGTCATGTTTTACAAACGGCAAGGAATGTTTTGGGAGAGGTTAGAACTGAGTTAAGAAAGGGAATGAAGAGGGTGATTTTCCATTCTGACATTGGATTAAATCCATTATTGTTAAAATTGTAAAAATATAGATAAGTACCGGTACCTCTAGTTTTTAACTTAGTGAGCCTCCCGGAAGAGATAAACTTTTAACTTCTCTGTATAATATACATACACCATCCAGCAAAGAGGTAACTCTAGTTTTTAACTTAGTGAACTGCCCAGAAGTGATAAACTTTTAAGTTCTTCACATAATATACATATATTATCCTGCAAAGAGGTTATGAGAATACGCAAACGTATCGGAGAGAAGTTGTTATTTTGATCTAACACCAAATTCTTGTTATTAATCCACAAGGAAATGTGTAGCAGCTAGAGGGGAGAATTAACTATCAGATCTTGGGAGTTGAAGGGTTATTAAAAACATGGTGATTAAAATCTTCATTTTCTCCTAAACTAATTGATGTTTATTCTTGTGCTTGGTGAAAATGATATTTTGCAAAGCTCACAGTTTGTTGGAATAAAAAAAAAGCATTTATTTTGCAATGGTGCATTTTATTAAAAAAGCTCTGTCCACAAAAAAAAGCAGGTGAAGTGTTTGAAATTTTAAATGCCTTTTTCGGATTGCTTTTAGAGATCTTGTTCAAGAGCAGTTTTAAATAGGTTGAAATGCAAAGGATTTAACCATGTGATAAAAGTTTATCAAGGAAGACTCATACCTCTTTCAAGGATATGCGAATTGTGTTATGTTTATGTGGAAATGTCTGAGTGATAGAAGAAAGTGGCAGGTTTTAATAATTTTTATTTGAATACATACTGCCTCGTGTTTGTCTAACAGGTAAACATTGATGTTCAAGAGAGCACTTTGATTACAGTAGAGTATCTTTTCAATCTTCTCTACTGCAAACCAATTTCCTCAAGAAAATTATAAATCTTTGTCAAATTAGTCAAAAAAGTTGAGGAAAAATTATCATTTTGTTTCCAAAAAGGCATGAAGTCTGTAAGAATCTTGAGATAGCAACATTGGGTGAAGACACAAAGTGGGGTTTATAGTTGTCAAACAAGTTTTTGACGTTTTGTCTTTTGAAACAAAGTGCTTGTCCCAATGGATTTTCCCTTTGTGGGTGAGAGAGAGTAAGCCGCGTGAAAGCGATTGGTTCAAATTCTTGGAATGAATAATTAATCCTCTTAACATCTGACTGATTCGCCCGTGCGTGACAGGAAAAGAAAGATTATTTAACAGTGTCATATTTCATTAGGCAATGCTAATCTTCTGCGTTCCATTCCTTAGAGATAGGGTAGGGTACTTGTGTTTACGGTAAGATTTTTGGTAGTTCGTTGTCGTTTAATTCATGTCCCAGCTCAACTGTAGAAAAACTAGATAGAAGTATAAGAAAAGTGGTTTTCTGTAACGTTCAAGAGTAGGAAAGCTGAGCATTAATTACTCATTTTTGGGTGAAAAGTTCGGCAAACTTTGGTCGTCATGGCGGACACGGAGAGAAGACGTCCTATGATCGGAGCTATGTTCCGTGGCCCGGGACCCGCTGCTTATGTTTTACCAGGATCTACAGGTTACATTGGACATGATTGTACGAAATACAAGAAACCAGCCTTCAGTTTTGGCGCAAGAACGTGGAAAAATCAACAGTTGACAGGACCTGGTCCTAAATACAAAATAGAAGATGTTACGCGATTCGGAATGGAAGGGACACCGAAGTATACTCTCCATTCGCGAACAAACTTGCAAGGGAAATTTCAAACGCCGGCTCCTTGTGAGTTCAGTTTGTTCTCTTAGCTCCATTTATTGTAGAGTTTGTTTATCCTGTAGTGCTGTGTAAGAAAACAATGGAACGCGGAGTTAATTTCTTGTTCCACAACCGGCGCGTCCTCGGAGACGCCATAAGAACAAAGTATGTATGCACACATGTCTGGTAAACTGTCGCGCTCAATAGGCTCAAGATCTACCTAAATCTAAACAAATGTCTAAAATAAGCGCAGACTTTTAACTCCCTCCCGAATAATTTTACTGGTATCTTCTCTTGTGGTGGAATCCTCTTAAAAGTGATATCTCATTAAGTGAAATTATTAGAATTTCGATTATTCGTTCCCTCCCCTCCCTTTATCTTTCCGGAAAAACCTCCAAAATACTAAATCTAAGCCTTTCAGCCCACAGACGACACTTTTAACTCCTCTGAATGTCCAGTGTCTATTTTCTCCTCACAGTAATACTTCTAAGTCATTCATTTAGATTATGGGAATGAAGAAAATGATCACCAACCTAAGAAGCTTTGATTGTTTAACAAATTCTCCCTTTCAGTATTTAAGGAAATGTACAGAGAAGTGTATGGAGAATATGGATACTGATGTTAGGGAATGAAAGGTTTATAATAACTAGGTACTGGCTAAAATAGTTGGAGAAACATGCTTATTATTGGGGTATTGGCAGTTAAATAATTAGTTTTTAACAGAATATCCAACTTATTGTGACTTTCACCTTGTGGTAATTTTCTCCAAGGGGATTACAAGGCAGAGAAGAAGCCAGTATTTAAACATGCCTTTCCCCCGCAATATTCCTTTGGTTTGCGCACTCCATACGGAAAGCAGGACAACAACCCAGCCCCGAATAATTACAACATGCCATCAATAATTGGTCCTAAGGCTGTAGGAAAGAAGTCTTCAGCTGCTTTCTCTATGACAAGTAGATCAAAGATTGGAAGTTTTCATGAGGATTTGCAGAAGGTTGGTGTTTGTAGATTGTATGAGGAAGAGTTTTACTGATTCAAAATGTTGATAGTACTCATGTTGTGCTTGTTAGGACAGTTTGCCTCCAGTGTCTTAGCTTTTAACTATTTTGGTACCTCTCTCCCAACCCATGCCAGGAAAACCTGATGAAATTGAAATGCTGAGGAGGAGGAAATTAAATGTTATCTAATGGTATAATAAAAACTATCATCACCTCTACCAGGCAAATAATCATGGGGCACCCCCAATTCTACATCCTTGGTTCCTTGATAAAGCTCCAAAACAAATAATATACTACAATGAGCTATGAATTATAAGCATCCTGGTCAGACAAATGCGCAAAATTGTATAGTATCATGGTTTTAATTGCTTTTAGGTGTACAAATACATTTAAGAATGGATTCTAATATACAGTTTGTCTTACTTTTCTTTAGAAATAAACACTATTGTTACTCTCTCTCATCTTTCAATATTTTCACCATCTTTGTATGCAGACTCCTGGACCAGGCACATATAAAGTGACTGATCCAAATATCTACAGGAACAGGAAGCCCATATTTTCCATGACAGCTCGTAACAATGCGCCTGGTGACCGAACCCTAAAACCAGGACCTGGAGCCCACAGACCAGAACTGGTGAGAAAAGATCTTAGTGGACATTTTGATTAAGTACAACCAAAATGCAGAACCAAAGAAAGAAATCACAACAGCCAATCAGAACTAAGTTTTAGAATATATCAAGGAGGTTAATGCAAATGTGGTTCAACAAGAATCTATGGAAATATTTTTGTGACCCCTGATGTCAAGATTTTTCTCAAGTTTTGTTTCTGAAACACTGAGAGGAGAATGGTATCAGTTTCCTTGACCAATCACTACATGAGCTTAGTATTAACCCTTGACATCCTATCATCAGTATGCATATTCTCCATACTGTTCTCTATACATTTCTTGAGATGCTGACAAGGAGAATTTGTTAAATAATCAAGAGCCTCTTAAGTAATGGTAATCATTTTCAAATTGAGATGGATGACAAGAAGAGGAATGTTTAGTGCACAATAAATAAACATGTAAATGAAAATTTTAAAATATCATTGCTTGGGCATCTATGGTCAGTTTTGTTTAGCCGTTAATTGTCGTAGAAATGTGTGGCATATTTTTTTTTATTAATTGAAATCTGATTGAATTTATTTTCTTCTCTTTCAGTGCTATGCTACATTCAAAAGACAACCCTCTTTTCACTTTGGCCAGAGGTGGTCTGAGTATGTTGCACCACTGATTGTGGATCCTATTGATTAATGGAGATTTTTAGCTGGTAGCAGCCATATTGTTTGTGCCTGCCAACTCTGAGTCAAGCAGATCAGAAGATTTTAATTTCATGTCAGTTCAATGGCCTTCCTGATTAATAGCTCATAGATGTCACAAACATTTATGTTATTCTGTAAATGGTTTGAACCTTGGGGTAAATTTTTATTTTGTGATTATCGTCTAGGTAAGGGCAGTCCTGAGAAGGACTGTTGTCAGTAGTAGGGAATGAGATTTTGACAACCAAAGTGGAAGTAATCATTATTTTGTTATTACAGTCTTGATAGTAACATTCTTCTAAAATATGTATTGAAACAGACATTCAATTGATTGTAAAATGATCATACTTCACCCAGTATAGAAGGGAGAAAACTGGAGATTCTGTAAAGGATGCTGCTGCATTCAGTATCCCTGGAAGTGTGTAGTTATCTTGCCTTTTTCTTCTGTGTCCCACACAAAATAATTATCAACTAAAAAAGGTTGGCAGGTATAAAGAATTATTTTTTTGTATTTCCAGAAAGTATAACCATTGATCTTGAATTACAATTTACAAAATTTAGGAACAAAGGGATGACGTACTCGAACTCTAAAATAAGGGTTTGAGGAAACTTTCCTAGTTCATTTGTTTAGTCCATGTATTTCAAAAAGTAGTGTTAAGCATTTCCTCAAGCAGTGTCTAGTAGTTTCCTTTCTCTATGGTTTATTGTTACTGCCTGAGATTAAGCATCAGCATGTACATAAACAGATTCTTATCCAATGTTTTAAAACAGTTTACAGAACAAGATTGGAAGCCAGGAAATGTGGTATTTTGACGAGATTCCTTTTTTCTTTTAGTGCTGCAATTACAGTATTATGAGTAGACAAAAGTGGCTTGCACTTTTTTCAGTAGTTTTTTTTTTATATATATATTTTATGAAGATTTAAGAAAGAAATAAATTCAAAGAGTTTGTCTCGGCAGAACAAAACTTAATATATGTATGCAAGGCTTATATCAAAATGATAATAAGCTCTGTTGCTCTTTGAGTTTTTTCTTTGCTTTCAACTTACTCTCCATTTGAAAACACAGTTAGATTGGTGTGAAGCTTACTTACAGTTGCAAAGCCCGGAGAGCAATACAAAGTTAATAGCATTGTAGCTTTTGAAATGCAAAATGTTATTAAAATTGTGCTGTATATTAATTTGGAAACAAGTCAGAAAGATTGTTTCAAGTTTGTCAAGTCACTGTCAGTAGTAATCAAGAATGTAGACCATTACTTGTCCATCGGGGGGAGGGGGGTCTTGGGGCGTTTCTGACCCTTCTTCTCTGAAAGAGAAGGGTCAAGTAGTCTGGATTTGACCCTTGATGTGACACAGCTAAGCTCCTGATGCCTGCAAGAAAATTGCACAAGTACAATTTTTTGGACTGTCTGTTGGATTGTATCGTTGATTTTTCATGAAAGTATTTACTCGTGTTTATAGTTTATTTATTTCACTGTTTACAAGTGACCCTACCTGAAGGAAAGTAAAACAAGAGTGCAAGTACAGTTGAACCTATATTAAGCGGCACCGCATTAAGCGGTCACCCTTCACAAAGCGGTTGGTGGTCAAAGTCCTGAATCACTGCAATTTTCACCTTTCTTAAGCAGTCGCAGTCACCTTCGAGTGAGTCCTAATGACCTGTTTATAATTTCTTCCACCAGTATTGAACGGTTATTAAAAGAGGAGCCACTCATTAAAACTGATAATTATCTTTTTATCAGTTTATGTTCTCTCCCAAAATCAATGTTGGTATAATTTTTTAGCGAGTTTTTGTGCAGTGAGTGATCGATTGTGCCATAAATGGCGTTTTTTGTCTTTTTTTTAAATTCTACCCCTAATCTGTGGAACCTATTTTTAGCCGTGAACTTGTGTTACACGGTCACCCCACATTTCCCGTGGGTGATCGCTTAAACAGGATTGACTGTAATTAGATAAGATATAGGATTTTAACATTTGCAGTTATAGACACCTAGCTTCGCTGAGGACAAGGGTTTGTCAGTCTTTCAAGTTATGTCATCACCATCTTTCTGTCCTAATAGTTCTGTCAACATTTTTAAAAGAGGGTTGCAAATGGAGTGTACGTGATGCTTCATAAGCCCAAAAGTAATATTTTACAGACAAGGAGAGGTGAGGTATAAAATTTCCCCTTTTTAAATCCGTGACGCGTGAGTTACAGTTCAAACCACATATGCCACGTGGATATTTCTAGAATTCGTGCGTAAAATGGTATCAGGATCGCCCCATCTCGACCCCACCTCTGCTTTGCTACCATCCTAAATCTACATGGAGATTGGAATTAAAAAACCTAAAAACACAATGAATTCATCTAGCTTTCTTATCTTACTAAGCAGCAAGAACAAAATATTTAGCGCCAACTGAAAACCATCTACAATTTAACAACAAAAAGATATTAGGTTATTTTGCAAGAGCCTCAAATAGATTTGCACTGCGGGTGTATGCTCTCAGCGTGTCCCGTGTGTTAGCCAATCGGAGATCGCGGATATGTAACACGACTTGTCCTCTAACAAGGAATTAGGCACCGAATGCATTTGATAAATACTGAAACGCACAAATAAGATTGCAGAGATCATCAATGTAAAAGTATGCCATGGCACACGCACTGTTTTTTTAGGGCGAACTGTAATTGGCTAGAATTTTACCGCGTCTACGCGGCAATATGGCGCATGCGTTAGATTACCATTTGTAATCTTTACAAATAGTGTGCATTGTTATTTATTTTAAATGATTCGTATTTTTGTGTTATTTTTTTTCTCATGTCCATTAGCGTTACAAATCACGTGAATGAAAACGGACACTCCGGACTCAAAGATTGTGTTTTACCGAAAACATTTCTATGAGGAATCATTCCTCTCCTGGTGATTGAGGAGGCTTCAATGATAAGTGAATTGTCGTGGGTTTAGAGAAGAACTTGATGTGGCCTAAAGCAAATGGGGAGGAATGAGGAAATTGATCGTGATGCGAAAGAAAGGTTATTGGGAGATGAGACCCCAGAGTTTGAACCGGAAGACAGGTAAGTGCAATCTATATCGTACAAACTCGCTCCGCTAAATGAAATTATTTGCCAGTTTGAAAGCTTACCAATGTTTTCTGGAAAAAAACAAATTTTATTGCTGCAATGTTATGAAGTTCGTTTGGTCTTCACTCTTTTGATAGTTAAAATTGCGAAGAATTGAAAATTTATGATGCAAATATGAGGAAGCTAGAAGATCTTTTATTGTAACCCTATACAATGTCAATATTCAATGTTAAGGTTCGTACCGTTTGTAATGTGAACCATAAATCGTTTTGAACAGTGTAGTCAGCCTAACATAACGAGTCATTGCGCATTTGTAAAGTATTCAGAAAGACTTCAAACTTGCTTATCTGTTTAAACATCGTGACAATTAATTTGTGGATTATCTTTGAGTTATCTGATTGTTCGAACTGAGGATATGTTTTGTGCACTAAACCCCGTGCATATCACTGGAGGGTGCTTAAAAAATTTTGGTATCGTTGATTTGAATTGATGACATTGAGATGATATTTGCAATAGTTTAAACATTTTGTTATGGGTTAGCCTTAAGCTATATTCAGTAATACATCTGAATATATTTTTACGTTACAAGATTTCATAGCCGTCCAGCCCTGCATTTGCATGGTTTGTTTACATTTTATTTTATGGGTTGGATTAGGGCACTAAATGCAATTGATGTTTTTATTTTTATGAAAGTGAAAAGTGTTGATTTATAAATGAAGCCTCTCAAGGGGTCATGGCAACAAGTGACATTGCTTAAAAATGTGGCAGCAATCTTTTTCCAATGCACTGACAGTGGACAAAAATTGACAGAATATGACCGACATTTTGTAATAGCGGCAGTCCATTTTTAATTTGGATAAAGCGACATTTATCACTTTGATTTTCTTAACAGAGACATCATAATCAGGACAGAGTGACTTTTTTATGATCTTACCAGCCTTACTTTGCCAATAAACCATCAACAAGTTAATAAACTATTTAATGTGATTGATAATCACCCTTAACCCTTTAATTCTTTTTTAATTCTCTTAACAGTCTGCCAAATTATTTCTCATTATGCTAGTTTGGAGAATTTGCTATTGGATCAATTAGTAATCCCATAATTGGTATTTTTCTTTATTCTCATTACTTGTCCGCATGACATCGCATAGCTGTAGTAAGGAGAAATTCTGTTTTGGTCACTCACAGGAGTCAAAGGGTCATGTGAGTGTTTGCATGTCAAATACCAATTATTGTTAGGCCTGTTGACTCTTGTATTATCTTTGTAACTGGAATGAAATGGAGAAAGATAAGAAGAAATCCCACAGCATTCTGAAGAAGTGTAAAAAAGGATAAAATGAATCACTTTAGGTAAGATGAGAAAGGTAATTGGGCAATAATTGCAGATAATTCTTAGAGTGCTTTATATGATGGCCTTTACTTTAACAAAGTTTTATTAAGATTTAGCAGTGTCAGTCAATTTATTATGACCAATAATCCCATCCATGACCATTCATTGTATGGACAGACTTTAACAACTTTAAGATTATGGGCTGGGGGCTAGCCAGCTTACAGCATGTGTGCAGTGTTCATATATTCACATCATTGCTCAGTGCACAAATGCTAACATGAAATGAATACATGATAAGTAGGACACTAAATCAACGAACCCCAGGTTATTGCAGTAGCAAGATTAGCCAAGAGTCACTCCCTGCTTGATAGGAAGAGTAGAAAAAATCTAGATCTTATGTTATGATGCAACTGCATAGTAGTATAATATTCAAAGCCATCTCTATTATCACATTGCAAGAGAAAGTCATTAAAAGATATCCTGGTCAGAACTAAACTGTGAAGCTGAGAAGATTTAAATTGATTTCACATGCAGATGGCGAGTCATGCAGGCCTGTCAATGCTCTCTGACAAGACAAAGCAGACCCAATAGGGAGATGGTTTGACGGGTGCAACATACACCCCCCTACTCCATGGGAAAGTCTGTTTATTAGATAAAAGGGATTCAATAGAAAGCAAGATACAAAAAAGGTCTTCAAAAACTGGCCCTCAATACACAACCCAATAGTTTATTATTTCCTGGGGGAGCATGCCTCTGGACCTCCCTAAAATCTTGCGCCTTTGGTGCCTGTCAGCTTACAGGTTAGGCCCTTATACAAAACCCCTTGTCTAGGGGCTTGCAAAGATATTTGGGTCAGAGTCACTGATTGGAAGTGGAAGATTCAAAATCACTTGCAAATGGCAGTGGTTGTGAAGGCCTGTCGACACCTTTCAACATCTTTTTAAGCTACAATGTTTTTAACTAATCTCTATAACACTGGTGGAGAAATGGCTCCTTAATGAGCAATATGTAAAGAAAGTATTTAAAAGAAATTCTGTCAGAACTATTAAAATTTT